AGTTTTTCTGACAAGCATTGCTGCTTGGGCCTCCCGTCTGTGTGATGCTGTTTCAGATTAAAACACTGCTGCATTTGTTTAGTCCATTAGGATAATAGCTTCCCTGTCAGCTTTCGCCTCTGACTCAGCAGTGAGAGTCCTAGTTTTAGGCATGTGAATTCTGCAGTCACTTGGCAGAGCTTAGCAGTAAGGTACGAAACAAAGGGGGTGATGCACAGAGTGAGGGGAGAATGAGAGACTGGAAGTCCATGGCTGAACTTTGAACCACTGCACTTCCAGAGTCAATTTTGGTAAAGGCTGCACCCTGTTCAAGAATAGCTGGGCCTTTTGACCTACATCAAGACTTATTTGTATAGTAAACACTGTAGACCTGTCTCTGGGGCTAAGGGTGTGTATTCCTCAGTAAAAATAAAAGCTTGAAGGTTGGTAGGGGAAGAAACAGTGAATGGTGACAAAGGATGAGCAAATGCAGCTGTACATCCTTAGATTTGGAAGAGGTTGGGAATGAAGACTGGGACTTCAGTCGAAAGCTTCATAGCTTGGGAGTTTCCAGAGGGAGAGAGGCGTGTGTGACGTCTTGCAGATAGTCTAGGAAGTTGGTCCAGGCAGAAAAGGGAGCCAAGGAGAATGGAAGCATAGAAACATAGCAAGTCAGAAGGGCCATCTAGTCTGGTCCCTGGCCCCAGCCGGCTCCACTCATGCAATATCCATCATGTGGTGTCCAATCTTTCCTTGAACACCCTCACTGATGGAGCCCCCAGCACCTCCCATGGAAGCCCATTCCATATGCTGGGGGTCCTGACTGTCCTGACATCCAACCCAAAACCTGGTTCCTTGAGCTTTGCTCCATTGGACCACGTCCTTTCCTCCACCGGGTCATGAGAGCAGGTTATGACCCTCCACCATGTGACATCCCTTCACACACCTATATGTCTCTATACGTTCCCCTCAGAGTCTCCTCTTTTCCAGGCTGAAAAGACCCAGCTCCCTCAATCTCATCTCGTATGACATCCCTCCCAGTCTGGCTACCATCCCTGTGACCCTGTGCTGAACTGATTCTGACCTATCTATGTCTCTCTTATAGTGAGGACAGGACTCCAGTTGTGGATGCACCAAAGTCTTTTATTTATTTATTAATTAAAACATTTCTATGCCGCCCCTTGCCGAAGCCTCGGGGCGGCTCACAGCATGAAAGAGTGGTATGAGGACCTTTCTCAATCTGGAAACCATGCTACTGGCTATACACCCAAGCGTGACATTTGCCCTCTTAACTGCTGTGTCCCACTGCTGACTCATGTTTAGCCTGCTGTGGACAAGTCCTTCAAGATCCCGTTCACACGTGTCACTCTCCAGCCACTTGTCCCCCATCCTGGGTACCTACCTATGGCACCTGTTCTTGTGCCTCAAGTGCCTTGCACTTATTTCCATTGAATGCCATCCTGTTGTTGTTATACAAATAAGGAAAGACAGAAGAAAAGGATCCCTTACGAGTACTGGGAGTGGCAGAATTTGAGGAAAGGGGATGGTGGCCAGGCGAGAGCATGTGGATTGTACTGCTGAAGAATTTTAGCCCCATTCTTTGGCTCATTGCATTTTAGAAGTTTGCCTGGTGATGGTATTTGTAGTCTTCCTGAACTTTTTCTTCTGTTTCATTTTGCAGTGAAGTCACAAACCCCATTTTGTGACATATATTGTTGCCATGGGAATGAGATGTCATTGTCATCTGTCCAGAGAGCTTTGGCTATTGGACAGTATAGCAATGTAATCAATGAAAAAAATGAAATGAAATTCACCCCTTGTTATGACATCATAGGTGAAAGTTGTGGAGTAGGAAGACAACTCTGGGAAAGACCTTGGACAAAAGGTGGACTAAAAGTGTGATTGGAAGTTCAGCATCAGCTAAAGAGGTCTCTGATCCTCTCAGTAATCAGCTGAAGAGGTGCATGAACCTATCTGTAATTTATGGAAACTGGGTTTTTTCTCTGTGTTCTTTCAAATCTTCCCTGACATAGTTCAGCATCTCAGCAATGTTTCTTAAATCTAATGTGCTTTGCACATCTGTAACTAGGCAGCTGTGGAATGTTCTTTCAGCTTGAATCTTTACAGTATTCCTGCCTGATGTTCAAGAAGTACTCTTGGATTTTGTAAATTGGGAGTAAAGCCACTGGAGATCTCCCTGAGGCAAGCCTGGCTTTGCAGTAGACAGTGGTCATGATAAATACTATTTGTGACTGATACCATGCCATCCTTGTTTTACCTTGCAATAAGTTGCTGCTCACCTTCTCTTCTGGCCTGTTTACTGTCCCTTAGAAGGATATTTGTGTACATTCCCACAGATTTTAGAATTGTGCAGGGTGTAATGCCTTTAATCTGTCAAAAGGACACCCTGCTTATTAATACAATTGCTAGGTTAATAAAAATCTGAAATGCTCTTCTAAGGATCGGGGACAGTTGCTAGAAATGTAGCTGTTCAGTGAGAATGACCTGGACCTCTGTTCTTAGGGACAGAGGAGGGGTGTGATGTTTCCTGATGCGCCCTAAAAAATCAGCATCTGTGCTTTTCTCCCAGGGCAATGGTTAATGATAGATATAGAAAAGAGTTCAAGTCTGTATGAAATTTAATGTGGCTTTTTATTATGTCACTGTAGAGGTGTGGGTAATTGAAGTGGTACCAAGTGTTTCTAAAAAAAATCCTTTATTTCCTAAATTGTAGGAGTAAAGTCCTATCTAGTCACTTTGTTTCCTGCTGCATGCTGTCTTAGCTTGTGATCTCCCCTTTCTGAAAGACTCAGGATTGGTATTTGACTTTAGCAATATGTACACCACATCATACCTGGAAGCTAAATATAGCTTTTAAAAAATAACAAAATACTAAAATCCTGTAACAGGATGAGTGGGGTGTGCCATCCATGTATTGCTATAGCTGGTTCAAGATCTTGAGTTCAAATGGCAATAGGATAAATTTTACTGACCAACTCTTAAATTTGTTGTTGCTGTTAGTTGTGAAGTCATGTCCAACCCATCACGACCCTATGGACAACATTCCTCCAGGCCTTCATGTCCTCCACCATCCCCCAGAGTCCACTTAAGCTCACACTGACTGCTTCATTCTCTGCCGCCCCCTTCTTCTTTTGCCGTCAATTGTTCCCAGCATTAGGGTCTTCTCCAGGGAGTTCTTCCTTCTCATTAGGTGGCCAAAGTATTTGAGTTTCATCTTCAGTATCTGGCCTTCTAAAGAACAATCAGGGTTGATCTCCTCTAGGACTGACCGGTTTGATCCTCCAGCACCACAATTCAAAGGCCTCAGCTCTTTGGCTCTCAGCCTTCCTTATGGTTCAACTTTCACAGCCATACATTGCAACTGGGAACACCATAGCCTTGACAATAATGCACTTTTGTTGGCAGCATGATGTCTCTGCTTTTTAGTATGCCGTCTAGATTTGCCATAGCTTTCCTCCCCAGGAGCAAGCATCTTTTAATTTCTTGGCTGCAGTCTCCATCTGTAGTGATCTTGGAGCCCAGGAAGATAAAATCTGTCACTACCTCCATTTCTTCCTCAACTATTTGCCAGGAAGTGAGAGGACCAGATGCCATGATCTTAGTTTTCTTAATGTTGAGTTTCAAGCCAACTTTTGCACTCTCCTCCTTCACCTGCATCAAGAGGCTCTTTAGTTCCTCTTCACTTTCTGCCACTAGAGTGGTATCATCTGCATATCTGAGGTTGTTGATATTTCTCCCAGCAATCTTGATTCCAACTTGTGAATCATCTAGCCCCGCCTTCCTCATGATGTGCTCTGCTCTTAAATTACAGAGGGGCAAAAACTAGTTTCAGAAATTGGTACCCAATTCACCAGTATCTTTGGTTTCACGTCTATCATAGCGTGGGGTTGTGGGCAGGGAGTATATTATTATCTAAAATCTGTGTGCAGCACTTAGTAAATTTCAGATACTTTTTAAATGATTTTCCCAAGTGTGTTTTTCTGCGTTAGTTTTGCATCCTTTGCTTTGCTTCTTTGAAAGCAAAGTAGTGGTCTTTAATTCTACTGTCAAAATCCCAGGAGGTTATTTCTTATTGGCTTGCACTCTTCCTACCTGAAAGGTTGCCACACAGAGGAAGGCCAGGATCTCTCCTTAATTATCTCAGAGTGCAAGATAACATGGAATAACAGGCTCAAGCTACAGGAAGCCAGATTCCAGCTGAACATCAGGAAGAACTTCCTGATTGTTAGAGCAGTACAACAAAGGAACCAATAACTTTAAGAGGTTGTGGATTTTCCCACATTGAAGGCATTCCAGATGTATCTGGAAAGCCATCTGAGAAGAATGGTTTAACTGAGAGTCCTGTACTGAACAGGTGGTTAGACCTGATGATATTCTTGTCGCCTATAAATTATGTGATTTTAATACTGAGAATTACTGCAGAATTTGAGTCCTAGTATAGATAGAGTGCAGGGATTCATCTCATCCACATGCAATGGCCTGACTGGCTGTACATCACTGAGCAATTCATTCTGTTCCATACCTGTAAATAGATTGTTGAATCATCTCACAGTTTATACATCACAAGTTTTTAAAAAAGATACTAGATCTTCCTGCCCAACTGCCCCTGTTGCAAATGCAAGAGCCTAACCAGCTCAGGGGGGATTCTATGGATTTGGGGGGTGGGGGTGGGGGTTGTTATACTGGCTTGTCAGAACAGAGACAAGGCAAGAGGTCTACCAGGATTAAACAACCAGGAACGGTGATTCATTTGATTGTTTAGCCTTTCCTGCTTTTGCAGGAGCAAAAGAACAATGGAAGCCAGCAAACTTGCTTGTTCACAATAACCCAGGATTTTTAACCCTCCCCCCAGTTGTTACTGTTTTGTTGGCACTGTTCGTACCTTTTTTTCCCCAAGCATTGCTCAGCACCAATGCATGAAGGTACTACCTTGTTCTCTTTGGAATGCATAAAAAAATCAAGAGATGGCATTTGCTTTTCCTCCTGTCCTCTCTCTGTAGAAACCATGGCGAGCCCAGCAAAAGAGAACAGCTACAGAATGAAGAGTTACAAAAACAAAGCATTGAACCCTGAGGAAATGCGTCGGAGAAGAGAAGAGGAGGGCATCCAGCTCCGTAAACAGAAACGGGAGCAGCAGGTAATTCTTGTGTGGGTACTAGATGGCATGTGCATGTCCACCTTGGCCAGAAAGGTAGCCTAGGTCAATTGCTTCTGCTTATAACTGATTTTCCATGTCTGGAGTGTAGGGGGCATGGTTTGCCTTGTTTAAATGGATCTTTTCTTAGAGCTTCACTGGCATTCTGGTACCCGGTAAGCTGTACTTTGCAGAGCAGCCTTGAAGATTAACCCAGATTGGTTTGTTTGTTTATTTATTTATTTAAAACATTTCTATGCCGCCCCATTCGCCAAAGCCTCGGGGCGGTTCACAACATAAAATTAAAATATAAAACATTCTAATATACAATAAATTAACAATATAAAATAAGTCACATATTCCTGAACTGAGCTGCTCTTTGTGCACTAAAGCTGTAGTTGTTGGACCTGGACTTCAGTTTTAATTAGTGAACTTAAGAGTGAAGGACATCCTTGTGTTTTTAAGCTTAGTTCTCATAGGCTAGTATAATAGAAATGAGAGAGAAACTACTAGAGAACCTTTCCTTCTAATAAAGGGGAAAATGTTACTGCTGTTTCAGTATCTGACAAAGTCCTCTATGCAGTTCTTATTACATGTGCATCTATTACATTTTTAAAAATGCAAATGATATTCAAATGGGGGACATCTATGGCAACCTAAACATTCTGCACAAGAAAGGGAGGGGCAAAAGATCGATCAGGATTCACTGACACATCTCTGGGTGATTTGCAGTATATATTATCTAATAATGGCAACAACTAAACTCCCTCTAAATTGGGTTGCTGAAAAATATCTTTTCAGTGGTAGACTGTGCATGCCTTTGTGCATGAATGGACTAGTGAGTTTGGTTCTGTTATTGATTACATATTCCTGGATTGAGCACAAACTTACACCCTGTTCCCAAATTCTTAGCACTCAACCATCTGCCTGAGCCACTGTTTTGCACCATGTTCCACTTGGTGGGTATTCTAGTCAAAAGAAAGTAGATCCCAGGAGACTGAAATCTGCCCAGCCTTGGTAAAGGGTGGCACCAGCATTTTCTGATGAAGAGTTATTTGACTTTTGAAACTCTGTTTCATAACAGGAAGGTACAGTCCTGTAAATTGAGTGCTTAGCCCCACCTATCTCAGTTAGTCTTAACTACAAAATATGCAAACCCCTCAGAATTTGTAGATCATTATGTTTGGCTCATGTGTTCAAAGTCAGGGAAAGCAGTGTCTTTTGCCAGGCTAAAGAAGAGCCTTGTTGGCTGAAGACATTTTGACATACTAGAAGTGCTTCATTGCTAAAGATGCACACATTCTCTTTCCTAATTTGCACTGCATTATTGCAGAATCTGGGGCAACATTCATAAAGTTGTATCTTAAAAGCCAAGTTTCTAACTCCTGTGGCTGCAGACAAGATGTGGGCAGTGCCTGACAAAACCTCAAATGATGTGACAGTTGTGGGAAGAGATGGAACACAGCTTTGGAAGTACTCGGGCTTCAATGACTTCAGACATCTGCTTATGGCCAGCATTTGCAGATACTGTTTGTTCCCTTATGACTTGCTCCATCTTTCATTTCAGCTCTTCAAAAGAAGAAATGTGGAGCTTATTAATGAAGATGCTGCTATGTTTGACAGCCCCCTTGTAGACTCCTTTGTTAGCTCAACCACTGGAGGAGTAAGTAATCTTGGGAGCTGTGACACATTTAATTGGGGCGGGGGAGACTGTGCAGCGGCCTGTGGTAACAGAGATATCAGAAATCCATTTGAAGTACTTTATTTGCTCTGAAGGGTGGGCGCTGGGACTGATGTGTGGGTGTTCTTTTCAGGAGGGCATGATCACAAGAGAGATGGTGGAAATGCTGTTTTCAGAAGACCCTGATCTTCAGCTAGTAACCACCCAGCGGTTTAGGAAACTTCTTTCAAAAGGTAAATGCAGTTATGGTTCTTAATTAGCAACTTTAGTAATCGTGTGTTTCAAAAAACAAGCCTCTTGTCAAGCGCACCTCTATAATGGTAAGCAAATAATTTTAGCATGCAGTCATATGGCATTGGCCTAAGCAGGGGCAGGTAGCAGAGGCAATCTTTGCATCACATCCTTCTGTCCTTAATTGTCTGCAAACTGTTTTTTTTTGTTCTGCCTAGCTGGAGCACCTTGGAAGGGGAGAGGAGGAGGCTGGAGCACTATCAGGATGGCTTATACACTGGTTGCCTCCATCTCCTCCCCTTTCCGCACCCTTCTCTTAGGTCACTGTCCTGACTTCCAAGAACAGCCAGTGCAGTTCTTTCCATATTAACTGGGTGAGGGAAACAGAATCAGAGCTTTGATTCCCAACTCCAGGCACTGTCCGTTTACTGAGATCTGCAAATCTCAGGACTCCTCAAATATTGTCTAGGGCTCATAGTACCGCTCCTCCCTGCAAAACTGATAATAGGATTAAATTATACATGAAAGGAGGGGAATTGAACATTTTAGTTTTGGAGAAATGGGATTACATTTGCCTACATTTATCTGGCTACTGTTTTGACCTTTGTTTCCCTCCTCGCACTTCCTTCCAGCAGAAGCCAGGGATTTGTCCAGATAAAGGCTGGCCTTATATATAGGGTGTAGTAGGACCCTGAGAACCCAGCTGTCAGAGGGGCAAGTTTTTAGCCCTCATGTTAATAGTGGAGGGAAACATTAAAAGGCATTGTGTCAATTGTTTACAAATTAAAGACCTAAGGGCACAGTGCTATCAGTTGTGCCCTCACTGACTGTAAGCCCCTGAACTTGGAGGCTTATAATTATTCTGTGCTCAATGGGAGGTGTGGCAGAGGCAACCTTTACCTCTCCATCCTTCTGCTCTGTGTTTTTGCTCATCTAGCAAGGACATTTTGGAGGGGGAGGGACAGTGGCTGACAGAGGTTCAGGATAGCTCATATCTTAACCTCTCCGGTCTCCTCCTCTCCCCACCCACCAAAACACCCCCTTTTGTACCTCTCCAAGGTCACTCTTCCAACCTTGGAGGCCAGTCAGCACTGTTCTTTCCACACCAGCTGCAGGGATTGCTTGACTGCCCCAGCCAAGGTTAGAGCACTGTCTCCAGCCTTGGAGAGTTGATTCCGAACCCTCATGTGGCCCCTCAGAAGCTGTTCTGGGGCCATAAGGTTGCTCTCTTTGTGGGATTACATCAGACCACATGATGTCACAGATAGGGCCCTCTGTGTTCTGACTTGCTGTCATAAAGATCTTTCTTTCCTTTAGAGCCCAATCCTCCAATAGATGAAGTAATAAGCACTCAGGGAGTGGTGGACAGGTTTGTGGAGTTCCTAAAGAAAAGTGAAAACAGCACCTTACAGGTAAGGGGGAAGGCAGTCTTTTCTGGCTCTGTGTTATCACTGTAGTCGAGAAAGTTGTACATGGCTCTCTGCAAGTCAGACTGGCCCAGGTGTGACAAAAGTTACTCTTTGCAGTGCCTGTGGGATTGGTTCTGGCTGCAGCCACCATTTTGTTCTTAGTGCATCGAACCACCAACTGGAATGTAATATGAAATCCTGTTATGTGATCGGTTGTCCAGAGGTTTTGGACAGCAATGATCGGGGGCTGGAGCAGTTCCCCTGTGAGGAATGGCTATGGCAACTGGGATTGTTCAGCTTAGGGAAAAAGTGAGTAAGGGGAGACATAATAAGGGCATTTAAAATAATGCGTGGTGGAGAAAGTAGAAAGGGAGACCTTTTTCTTCCTCTCTCATAACACTCACACCCAGGCTCATTCGATGAAGCTAATCAGTGAGAGGTTTAGGCCAGAAAAGGAAGTACTTCTACACACAGCATATGGTTAAGCTGTGGAATTTGCTGCCATGGGAAATGCTGATGGCTGCCAGTCTGGATGGCTTTAAAATGGGATTGGACAGATTCATGAGGGAGGAGGTTGCAAACTTGCTGGCTAAGTGCTACCTCTCCTTTACCAGAGGTGGCATGCCTGCATATAGAAGATCTTGGGGTGGGAGGAGGTCTTACACCCACTCTGCTGGAAGCATCCTGTGGGTGCCTGGTTTGCCACCATGTATATGGTGTGCTGGACTGGATGGGATTTTGGTCTAGTCCAGACTGGTTTTTCTTACGCTCTTTTGGTTTTCATACTAGAGAAAGTACATAGCAAAAGTGGATACTGCAGTACCTCCAAGCTCATCCCTAGCTGCCTAGCTTTTCTCTTTGAAAACTCCCAAAGAGAAAAGCTTCACTATGGTTCCTAAAGACACTGCAAACCTTAAATGTATTTTGGAGCTAGAAGGTCGCAAACACTGGTCGATTATGGCAAATACATTTCTATCAAGGTTGTGTAGGATGATGTGCCAGCTGGGAGCTTTAGAATCATCAGAATTGAACTCAGATAACTCCCTGTGTTTTACTATCATGCTTTAGAATCATCAGAATTGAACTCAGATAACTCCCTGTGTTTTACTATCATGCTGTGGCAAAAGTGGTGGACATTTTCCTGACATATTTTACAGGGCAAAGAGGAAGCCTCATTCTAACTCTTTTGCCTTCACTAGCTGGTGCAGGTGGTGGCAGCCACAGCAAAGCTCCTCTCTTGGTTGCACACCTGCCTTTTCTTTTCCTCACTTTGCCCCAGGTGCGATATATCTGTGGGAAAGAAAACGAGAGCTGTGCCATGCTGCTGTTGCTGCCGCCACCCACAAATGGCAAAATAAAGTAAGACTAGAAAGAAGCTGTCACTCCTGGTAAAGGGGTAAGCCTCTCTCCCTCATTCAATCAGTAATCCAAATTTTCCCCTTATCCTATCCCCCAATATTCAGTGTCCTCCAGGAACTTTTGACCTGGCTCTAGTTAAGAAAGTCTATTCTGTTCTGATCCGTGGGATCCTTCTTCTGAGCACATCAGTTGCAAGTCAGTTCTGAGCTGCTGTAGTTAAAACCTAGGACTGCTTGTCCCTCAATATAAAGCATTTTCCTGATGGAGGCATCTGTTAATGACTTGCTTGTTTGATTTCAGTTTGAAGCTGCATGGGCGTTAACAAACATTGCCTCGGGCACCTCACTACAAACCAAAATAGTAATTGAGGCTGGAGCAGTTCCAATCTTCATTGAATTGCTGAGTGCTGATTTTGAAGATGTCCAAGAACAGGTGAGGCGCTTTCAGGCTGGACTGGGAGCTCAGGCCTGCTCACTTGAGTCCCTTTTCTGTGTATTAGGGATACAGCACCTTCCGTCTGCGTAGCCGTCTTGAACCCCTGCGGTTACCTAAGACAGGAGAGAACAGTGGGGATCTGTCTGCATGCCACACCTCCTCCAGATTGGAAAGATGACTGGCATACCAGGAAATTCCCACTGTTCTGTACAGTCATGGATAATAGCACCCTTGTGTCTTTATGGTGGGATCCAGTGCCACGGGGGATGGTGTGCACCATAGGAAGCCAGAGGCTCGGCTATCTTCACAGCAGGTTTACTTTCTGGCTTCTGGGAGGGGTAAAAGGGATGGTGCAGAGGGCATGATGATGTGACTGACATCAGTCAGTCAATGGGTTAGGGCTTGCCCCTGATACCTGCCTACATAGCTGTACATCGAGTGCTAAGCTGGAAAGGCTGGGGCCTGCAGTCCAATGAGTGACCTCATGTGGAAGCAGACCTTATGGCCCCTTGCAATTCCATCTGAGCCATGGAAGACGATTCCCCTCGTTGCAGCTTAGCTGCCATAGGTCAGTGGGACCTTGAGAAGCTTCTTGTGTTCTTCTTCTGCCTGTTCTTCCCTGCCTCCAAAGTGAGTGCTGAAGCCCATTTTTCTTGCAGGCTGTTTGGGCACTGGGGAACATTGCTGGAGACAGTTCTGCCTGTCGGGATTATGTCCTCAACTGTGGCATCCTTCCTCCCTTGTTGTTGTAAGTAGCTGCTGGAAGAAAGTCCATGCTTCTTAAGTCTGATGCCTGTTAGCTGTATCTCTTTCCCTATATCCAGAGCATTAGATTGAACATATTTTGTTGAATGGGGTAGAAAAGATTCATTTTTTTTTCTACACAACTATTATCAAATCAATCAGTATATTTATGGTCTGGAGGTGATTTCCCATGGACTATCTAGGTAGAGGCACAGTTTACTTAGTGTTCAGATAATTTGGAACAACTCTGCAGGTATTTTTGTTGTTGTCGTCGTCGCATGCCATGTTGCTTCCTAATTGCAGAAGGTGTGCGGTGGGATGATGTAGGTGAGGTGGTTCATCTGGAGAGGGCTGACGTCTGGTTAGAGAGAACCTTTGAAGATGTTTGTTCCTTATTGCCCAGTGCCCTTGCCTTATGAAAGGAATGGGGAATAGTGGATGAGAAACTGGACATGTTCATCTGAGCCACTAGGAAGGATGATGTTGTTGCCTTACATTTATAATGCACATTTTCTCCTCTTGTAAGGAACCCAAGGCAGGATATATAGATTTCCCTTGTATACTCACAACAGCTCTGAAGGTTGCTAGGCTGAAGGTCAGTGATGAGTTGAGTGTCATCAAGTGAGGTTCATGGCTGAGTGGGGACTACAACCCGGATCTCCTGAGGCTTAGTCCAACACGCTGAGTGCTGCACCTTGCCAGCTCTCCCAGTGTGAGTTTCATGAGTTCATATCCCCACTTGGTTGTGAAATTCCTGGGAGACACCTGTCCATTTTGTTGAGGACAGAAAGAAGTCCCTCTTTTTCATTGTCTGACCATGAGAGAGACAGGCAATACCAGCAAGTGATTTTGTATGTAAAAAGACTCTTTATTGTAGGGGCACAATGACAACAGAGAGTGAGCCCATCTCCAGTCGGGACTAGCTGCCACAGTCCTCATACATAATAAACTTACACATTATATTTTCCAATGACTAATAACAATGTCATAGCAGACCACATCCAGTTACTTTTATTCATAGTTATCATGAACTACAAGTCTTTTGAAGATATCTGGTATCAAAACATTTGCCTCCGGGCTTATCTGTACAAATTCTGACCACCTTCACTGAGGCTTATTTTATATTTTCAACCCTTTTGTGTCTCTCTGATAGAACACTAAGTAACTGAAGAAAATTTTATATTCCTCACATTTCAGTCTAGCTGTAACACCAGAGTGTGTTTTAAGGTAAATTAGAATATCTTGTATGAACTAAATTTAGCAACTTAGAGAAATAATGAACAAACATGTACAGCAGGTGTACGCAGGGCCAGGTCACAAAGGAAGAATATAAACAAATAGCAAGGAATTTCAGGGATGGCATCAGGAAGGCTAAAGCAGGAAATGAACTGAGACTAACAAGGGATGCTAAGAACAAGAAAACCATCTTCATATACATTCAAAACAAAAGGCATGTGAAAGAGAGGTTTCTGGCTAGTTATAGCAGATGGCAGAGTGATAACAGATGGCAAGGTGAAGGTGCTCAATTCCTATTTCACCTCTGTCTTCTCCCACAAGAAAATCTACCACCAAGAGGAAGTACAAACAGGAAGTGAGAGATGGAAGTCCAAGATTTACAGACAAATGGTCAAGGAATGCCTGGATGGAATTGTTGTTTTTGTTGTTAGTAGTCACAAAGTCGTGTCCGACCCATTGCGACCCCATGGACAACATTCCTCCAGGCCTTCCTGTCCTCCACCATCCCCTGGAGTCCACTGAAGCTCACGCTGACTGCTTCAGTGACTCCATCTATCCACCTCATTCTCTGCCGTCCCCTTCTTCTTTTGCCGTCTGTTGTTCCCAGTGAGTCCTTCCTTCTCATTAGGTGGCCAAAGTATTTGAGTTTCATCTTCAGTATCTGGCCTTCTAAAGAGCAGCCAGGGTTGATCTCCTCTAGGACTGACCGGTTTGATCTCCTTGCAGTCCAAGGGACTTGCAGGAGTCTCCTCCAGCACCACAATTCAAAGGCCTCAATTCTTAGCCTTCCTTATGGTCTAACTCTCACGGTCATATACTACAACTGGGAAAACCATAGCCTTGACTATACACACTTTTGTTGGCAGGGTGATATCTCTGCTTTGAAGTATGCTGTCTAGATTTGCCATAGCTTTCCTCCCCAGGAGCAAGCGTCTTTTAATTTCTTGGCTGCAGTCCCCGTCTGCGGTGATCTTGGAGCCTAGGAAAATAAAATCTGTCACTACCTCCATTTCTTCCTCATCTATTTGCTAGGAAGTGAGAGGACCAGATGCCTTGATCTTAGTTTTCTTAATGTTGAGTTTCAAGCCAACTTTTGCACTCTCCTCTTTCACCCACATCAAGAGGCTCTTTAGTTCCTCTTCACTTTCTGCCACTAGAGTGGTATCATCTGCATATCTGAGGTTGTTGATATTTCCCCCAGCAATCTTAATTTCAACTTGTGATTCAACTAGCCCTGCCTTTCTCATGATGTGCTCTGCATATAAGTTAAATTAGCTGGGTGACAGTATACAGCCTTGCTGAACAGCTTTCTCAATTTTGAACCAATCAGTGGTTCCGTGACCAGTTCTCATCATCTTTTAGGATTTTGAATATCTCACCTAGAATACTGTCACCTCCACTAGCTTTGTTGTTGCTCAGACTTCCTAAGGCCCATTTGACTTCACATTCCAGGATGTCTGGCTCGAGGTCAGTGACCACCCCATCGTGGTTATCAGGGATGTTAAGCTCTTTCTTGTATAGTTCTTCTGTGTAAACTTGCCACCTCTTCTTAATCTCTTCTGCCTTTGTTAGGTCCCTGCCATTTTGGTCCTTTATCATGCCTGTCATTGCATGAAACTTTCATATCTCCAATTTTCTTGAAGAAATCTCTGGTCTTCCCTATTCTGTTGTTTTCTATTTCTTTGCACTGTTCATTTAAGAAAGCATTCTTATCTCTTCTAGCTATTCTCTGGAATTCTGCATTCAATTGGGTGTATCTTTCTCTTTCTCCCTTGCCTTTCACTTCCCTTCGTTATTCAGCTATTTGTAAAGCTTCCTCAGACAGCCATTTTGCTTTCATGCATTTCTTTTTCTTTGGGATGGTTTTAGTTGCTACCTCTTGTACACTGTTGCAAACTTCCATCCATAGTTCTTCAGGCACTCTATCAGATCTAATTCTCCAGGTCCTGATGAACTCCATCCCAGAGTCATAAAAGAGGAAGTAGAGGAACTCTCAGAACCACTGACTATTATTCTCAATAAATCCTGAAAATCAGGGAAAGTGCCAGATGGCTGGAGAAGGGCTAACGTTGTCCCCATCTTCAAAAAAGGGAAAAAAAGATGAGCCTGGAAACTACAGAAGTGTTTGTCCTACACCAATTTCTGGAAAAATTTTGGAGCAAATTATTTAAAAATTAGTCTTCAAGCACTAAAAGAAGAAGCAGGGGTTATTTATTTATTTCCACCATTGCCTCATAACCCGAAGGTTCTATAGGCAGCTTACAAATGCTGAAAACAGCATATAAATACAGTTGATAAATCAAAAATCCTGTCAAAGTAATTTAATCTCATTTTTTGACCGGGTGACCTCCCAAATGGACAGAGGGAACACCGTAGACATAATCTGCCTTGACTTAAGCCAAACTTTTGACATAGTGCCCCATGACATCCTGATAAGCAAATTAGCAAAAAGTGGGTCGATAGAAATACTGTTAGGTGGATCCAAATTGGTTGCTAAATCACACACAAATGGCACCCGCTCAAACTGGAGGCAGGTAACTAGTGGGGTGCCACAGGGTTTAGTCCTGGGCCGAGTGCTCTTCAGCATCTTGAAGAGGAAGTATAAGGAACAATAATCAGATTTGCAGATGATACAAAACTGGGTAGAATGGCAGGCACCCTAGCAGACAGAAGGAAGATCCAGGGCGATCTTGAACACTGGCCTGGAAGTAGCAGAATGAGATTCAACAGGGACAAGTGCCAAGTCCTCCACCTAGGAAAAATAAACCAAATGCATCCCTACAAGATGGGCAATACGTGGCTCAAGAGAACTGAAGACGACCTTGGAGTTATTGTGGAAAACAGGCTAAACAAGAGCTAACAATGTGGTGCAGCTGCCAAAAGGGCAAATGCTACTTTGGAACGCTTTAATAAAAGTATTATTTTCAAATCACAAGAGTTACTAGTTCCTCAATACTCCTCACTAGTCAGACCTCATTTAGAATACTGTGTCCAGTTCTGGGCATCAAGATTTAAGAAAGATGCAGTAAAATTAGAAAGGGTCCAGAGGAGGGCAGCAAAAATGATCCAGGGTTTTGAAACACTGCCCTGAGGGACTGAGAGAACTGGGCATGGTCAGCCTCGAGAAGGGAAGACTGAGGGGGGATATGATATCCCTCTACAAGTCTCTCAGATGCTTCCAAATAGGAAAGTTAAGATCTCTTCTCTCTGCTACCAGAGTGTAGGACATGGAATAATCAATTCAGGCTGCAACAACCCAGATTCACACTGGATATCTAGAAAAGTTTCCTCACTGTCAGAGCAATACAACAGTGGAACCAGCTGCCTAGAGAGGTGGTGGGGTCTCCCATACTGGAGACGTTCAAGGCAAAACTGGACAGCTATCTGAGTGGGATGGTGTAAATTGGTGTCATGCAACAGCAGGGGGTTGGACCCAACGGCCTTCATGGCCACTTCCAAAGCTACGAAAGACAGAGTAAATTCTTGTACTAAAGTCATCTTACCTGCCAAGTTCAACGTTTGTAGGATATGACCACACATGCTACAGAATTTGCTTGAATCAGATGCTTAAAGGATTAGCAGCATTTTTCTGATAAAATTATGGCTGCAAGTACAAATGATTCATTTATTTTTTCCAGACTCCTCACAAAATCTACCAGGTTGACAATGACACGAAATGCTGTTTGGGCATTGTCAAACTTATGCAGAGGAAAAAACCCACCACCTGAATTTGAGAAGGTGAGATCCGAATGTGTGTTGTCTCTTGCCCAGGCACAGAACCCTTTTAGAGCTGTCCAACACTTCATGGAATTCTGTGGGTAGATCTTGGGGCTGCACCATATTTTAATACTCCACCATCTGTATAAAAACACAGCAGTACATTTTGTGGAAAGATTCAACATCATTTTCTTAGCAAGCCTGCCTCACTGCTGATGCTGGTTACACTGGTCATACCAGCAGCAGGCCATTACACACGCCTTTGCTTTAGAATGCAGGTGTGCTGTCCACCAGCCCGAGCAGCCCCCTCAAGCGGGACTGCTGCTGCGTATGTGTGCCTTTGTGTGGAAGAGTGTTGTACAGACTTCAAGTTGGATCAGTTTTGTGGCTGGGGCGATGGGGTTACTGTGTGAGCCATTGGTTCAAATTGGCAGAAAAGCCTCAAATTTTCACATTCCATGTTAGCTCAGTGCCCATACTAGGCCAGTTCAGGGGTTGTGAAAATGTGAAAGCTTTTGATGTCTCTTTATCAGGCACACTGTTATGAAAGCAGATGATGGAGAGGGTGGGAAAAGAAGTTGATTTAATGTTCAGGTCAGAATCTTAGGAGTCAATGTAGGAAAGGTTACAAGCATGTAAAGTAGGCTGCTGTGATGGTCTTAGGTTGCACTTTAAACCATTTCCAGTACTGCTGAGAAAGAGAAATGGGAGTGGGGTGTGCATTAGGCTGGTACATGGCTAGGCATAAGCCACGGCCCTCTTTCCTCCCTAGAATTTTGTTCTAATGGTCTCTTACAAATTTGCTCCCTGTTAGGTATCATCCTGTTTGCCAGTCTTGTCACGCTTACTCTTCAGCAGCGACTCAGACTTGCTAGCAGATGCGTGTTGGGCACTCTCCTACCTGTCGGATGGCCCTAATGAGAAAATCCAGGCCGTAATAGATTCTGGGGTGTGTCGGCGACTGGTGGAATTGCTGATGTAAGTTTCTGATTTGGGACAGATCCTGACAGAGGTTCTATACTCTGAGGGGTCCAGAATTAAAACTTCTAGAAGGATCTGCCCCTTGCATTATAAGGCCATGTTTATTATGGTCTGAGGCCAACATTCACTGGGAATAACTGAGATCCTTCAGAGTTTCATAAAACCATCATGTGGATTTACTCATAACTACCAGCCATTTTGTAGCTAGAATTGGTTCCATTCATTGACAGAGTAAGATGCTGGGGTACATCAGCAATGCTGAGATGGTAAGATTAGCTTATATTCACACTTTTGTCACCTTGAATGTGGGGAAACCGTTCCCCCACTTCGATATCTTTAACCTTGAGTAAGTCAATGCATTGTTTACATGAGTCAGTTTATTCGTTTGCTTAAGAGTATTGTGAGAACATACACTGAACTGATTCATATGTAATAGCAGTTGTGGACTAATCAACCCTGTGTGTTCATTGCTTCCATTTTTAATTAAAAACTTACAGTTACCCAGTTTGTAGATTGAGTGATGTCTGCACACTCACATTCTGCATTGTTCAGGGGTTAGGGTTATGTATCCACACACACAATCTAAAATGAAATAAATAGGTAGGATAACTAGGTGTCCATAGCTAGGTGTCCATCTGGATTTTTTTTAATACACTGCAAAAACCCAGTGTATAAAAGCGCATCTGCCAGTGCAGTGAGCAGAGCTGGATTTTGACATCAAAACCGCAGGTTCTAGTTCCCTGCATTGCTCTGGAGCCGGGCAGCCATCCCTGGCTTGGGTGCCTCTCTAGTCCACAGATTTTACTTTCTGCTATTGCACTTGGCTGCAAAACTGCGTGTTGGTCGTGGGACTAAAGGCTTGGCTGTGCTGTTGCCCCCTGCAGCCTATCATGGAATAGCATGGAAAGATCAGCTCAGACGTGTTTCACCTGTAGACTTGGTACAGAGTCCCCTGTGGGAAAGAGTCGCACTAAACCTGAGGGCTGGCACAGGCGGTTCCTTCTGTGGGGTGAGATGGGGATCTCACTTTCTCTTTCCACAGGCACAGCGACTACAAGGTGGCTTCTCCAGCTTTGCGTGCTGTCGGCAACATTGTGACGGGGGACGATATCCAGACCCAGGTGATGGGAAGGGGCCAAGCCTGGAAAGGGCCTGTTGGAGGTTGCATATTTTAAAAGCCCAGCTATTTAGCTTGTTCCACTGATTAGCCTGAGGAGGGCTCCTGGGAGATATCTATCCAGAAGGGAATCCTGAAATTGGCTTTGAATGCTTTTCTCTGATTAAAAGCAAGTGCTCATTGAAATTGGGGTGATGGTATGAACTACTACAGAATGCCAGTCGCTCTCTTGTTGGTGGAATTAGCAGCAAAGGCTTGGAATTGTTTGCTTTTCAGTATGGTTAGAGGTATAATTGAGTGCCATTTTGTTAGAAGACGCTCTGAAGCTGCACTCTCCCTCTGACAAAAGCACCTTCTCCTTTTCAGGTTATCCTGAATTGCTCAGCTTTGCCTTGTCTCCTTCATCTTCTCAGCAGTCCCAAAGAGTCTATTCGGAAAGAAGCTTGCTGGACGATCTCTAATGTCACAGCAGGAAACAGGGCTCAGATACAGGTACGGACCCTCCAGACTCTGACCACAACACACCCTTTCGGTCCGAGACTTCTGCTTCAAAGGTCAAAACCAACCTTTCCATGACCATGGGCTGGCACTTTGGTAGCATCTACATTATTTGCTTGCTTACTTACATTTATATGTCACCTACTTTCCTAAAAGGGCCAAAAAAGGCAGTCCTCCATGATTGAAAACACAAGAACTGCAACATACTAAAAAAAATCATTATGTTTAGATTCTTTCTCTCAAAGAATGGTACCTATTATTATTATTATTATTATTATTATTATTATTATTATTATTATTACACTTGAGGCAGCTAACAGTAAAATTTGAATTATAAATGAAATTTTAAATAAAATATTTTAAAATACATTTTAATACATAGCTAACACATCAATAAAGAAATAAGGAGCCCCAACTTAAATTCCTTGACCAACAGAACAGCTTATATCCCACCACTCTGCCTCAATAAAAGCATCTTTGCCTGTTTGCAGAAGACCGAGTGAAGCCAAGCTAGACTTGCTCTGCATGGAGTTCTAGATCCTGGGAGCAGCCCCTGAGAAGTCCCTGTCTTGCACTCACACCAAATTTGCCTCTCCTAATGGGACTGATAGAAAGGCATCCTGTGAAGATGTGAAAACATCTTGTTTTGGGGAGGGTGGTCTTTCATGTGACCAGGTCCCAGATTGTGCCCAGAAAAAGACCAGTAGCCAGCGAAGCTGTTTTAATGAGGAAGTCACATGGTAGTGGTGACATCAAACCATAAAATTCCATGCAGCCTTTGCAATGTTTATGTTAAATAGCATGGGGAACCAGATGGAGGCCTCAGGAATGCTATCCCACAGCCCCAGCACAACCAGGTCCCTGAGAAGGATGCTGTGGTCGACAGCATTCCCAGCACAAAAAGTCACTCAGGGTGACCAAAACTTTATTGGGTACAACTTAACCCTTGAATTCAGCACAGAAAGCTACTGCCACCCCGTGCTCGTCTTCCAAGGATGATGTAATCTGGTCTCATTCCCAGTTCCCAGTTAGTTCCTAGGTGCCGTATTTTGCACCTGCTGTAGCTCCACCTGCTCTTCAGGGGTAGCCCCACCCAGAGTGCATTGAAATAGACTTAATTGTCCTAATTGTGACAGCTGTTACCAGGCTGGACCCGCTCAGGTAGGGTCACAGCTTATGCATTAGTAGTGCATAGAGATGCTCTGTGCATCCAGGAACAGTGTAGGAGGATCTCCTCAAGAGGAGTGCGAGCCCTTCCAGAACAAACCGAATTCTGAGCCTGAACCAGACTTTCAGCCCACCCTGTAGCACCTCGGTCTTGTCTGGATTCAACCCCAGCTTGTTCAGTCACACTCCGCCCATTGTCTAACCTGGCTCATGTTCTGTTTTTCACCGCTCCTTCATGTTTGGTGGCAAAGAACGGTAGAGCTGGGCATCATCAACATACTGGCAGCACCTTACTCAAGAACTCTGAATGATGCCTCCCAACAGTTTCAGAGAAATGTTAAATAATGTGGGGAGCATGAGAGAGCCCTGTGGGGCACCCTAAGCCAGTGACGGCAGAGTCGAGCAGCAGTCCTCTCCTCCACACCACCCACATCTCCCACCAGCCCACCATGTGCTGTGCTAACTCCTTGCTTTGCACTAGTTCCCCCGGGTTGGCTCCAGTAGAGCTTGCTAAGGAGTTCAGGTGGCTGCTTGTATCAGGCGAAACACTGCCTGGATATTTCCGGGGCTCTCCCTGTTCCATACTGTGATGGTGTTTCTTCACCAAAGCAAAAAATGGGTTCTTGGCTGTAAGACCAGAATAACAGCTGAAGATCCTCATGAATTTAAACATAATGAACTGTAGTTTCTACTGCAGCAAGCTCTTGAATTTTTCTTCCTGTCCTTCCCTTGAACATATTTTCTCCAAATAGTATCTTCATACTTTCCAGATACCCAGGAACCTTGTTTATGCCGTCCTTTCCCTGAAACCAAGTGGTCCTTTTCAAAAGATGGGCATGCTGAGTCAGTGGCTAATCTTGCACAATTACCTTCTCTGCTGTGAAATCCAGGAAATTTAGTGAAAAATCTGAGATCCTCTGCAATTTTTTGCTAGATTTCTGAAAGCCAGGCCTAGAAGCCTAATGTAGGAATGGGAAAGTATGTTTGTTTTTGCTGCTGTTCAACCCCTGGGAGTCAGTAATCCTCACTCACTTCGAATCACAAAGAAGGGCCCGGTCAGCTGTTGGCCTGCTTTGCACTTGCTCCTGATCTGTGTTAATGGATGCTAATGCTTCTTCTTCGTGGCCTCTGTGCATCACACATATGGGTGCTGTGCCTGCACAGTGCCTAGGCCGGAAGATTAAAAAGCTAACGGTTTTTGGTGGGAAAACTCTGCTCCCCTCCCCCTTCGTGGTATAAATAGAACGGAGTGTCCACCATTTTGTTCAGTCTTTGTGACTGCCGTTTGCTCTGCCTCGTGCCTGTTAACGTCCTTGCTAAGATCTTGAGTCCTTACTGTTCCTTTTGCCTTTATCCCTCTTTTTTTCTTCTTCTCAAAAAGAAAAAACAAAAAAACCAAATATATTATCTTACCCTCTATCCTGTCATCTTTTCTTCTTTTTCCGCGATGGCGCAGCGAGCGGCCTTTCGCAAATGCACCGCATGCGGATCCAAAATGTCCCCTGTGGATCCGCATGATCTATGCCTCCTCTGCCTCAGCGAGGGGAATAGAACCGACAAGTGCGGCCATTGCTTGGCCTTTACCAAGCAAGCGCGGAAGAACAGGGAGAACCGTCTCCGCAAGCTCCTCTGGGACCAGGCCTTGATGCAGTTGGACCAATTGCTCTTACGGTCTGGTTCCTCTTCAGCCGCACCGCCTCCTCCACGCTCCACCCCAACTGTGAGCGCTCCTCCGAAGCATCCCGCTTCCACCGCTCCTCCTCAGTGTCCTTCAGCTGAAGGCACTACTCCAGCGGAGACCCAGGTGCCGCCTTCTTTCCCAGCCAAAAAACGGGAGAAGTGCAAGCACACGGGTTTGGATAAGCCTTCCGCTCGTAAAGTTCCAAGGAAGGAGAAGGCAGATAAACCCACTCACAAGACCAAGAAACCCGATCGCCCCAAACACTGGGGCTCGGGTTCGTCTGTTTTTTCGGTACCGTCCGCTGCCACGGTACCGACCCCTTTGGGACCGGCTCTGCAACTTACTATGCAGGTAACACTGCTGGGATCCCCCAGGCCTCTCATTCGGCCTGAGAGCGTGCCGACCCAACAAGTGGAGGAGCCGCTTCGGGAGTCTATCTCTGATGGTGAGATTAGAGACTCCCCACCGAGGGAACGGTCTCCGACTCCAATGCCCATGACTGAGCCACCTGTGGAGTCACCGTCGCCTCCAAGGCTCCGTGGCTGCTCGTCCGAACACCGGGGTGACGACTGGAGGATGCACGCATATGGTGCCTTCCCAGACTGGGGTGGCTATCAATCTTATTCGTACTACCCTCGGGATTGTGCATTTCCATCGGCCCCGAGAGATTCGCCTTCGACGGCCAGGCATGTGGAGAGGGGACGTCCAGCCTCCCCAGTGACATCGTCTTCGAGCGACCATCCACTTTATTATCCGGATTTGGACGAATCCGAGGTTGACTCTACATCCCCCGATGTAGCAGTCGCCTCCCAAGGACCGGCGTCACCCGATGAGCCACATGTCTCCTTTACGGAGCTCATGTCCCACCTCGTCCGTTCACTAGAGATTGAGGCTAGTCAACAGCCAGGCCCATCCACGGATCGCTTCTTTGATGTCGTGAGGGGAGAAAAGTCCGCGGCCATAGTCCTGCCGCTTATTACCACACTTCGGCAGGCTATGGTCCAACCCTGGGATCAACCGGCCCAACCACAAGCGACCTCCCGTCGGTATGAGGCCATGTACAGAGTTCTGGAGGACGACATTCCATTCCTGATTCACCATCCATGCCCGAACTCTGTTGTCGTCGAATCCTCCCAGGGCAGGGAGTCCAGGGGACACATAGCCCCTTGTGACAAGGAAGGGAGGAAGATCGATATGCTTGCTCGCTGAGTCTATGCGGCCTCTGGACTCAGCGTGCGCATATCGAACTATGAAGCAACACTGGCACGTTATCAGTATTTTATTACGCAAAAACTGGATAACGTTGCTTCCTCCCTTCCAGACCGCCAAGCTGAGCTTGCCAGGGTATTCATCAAGGAAGCTATGCAGGTAGCAGTGCAGCAATTATCTACCGCATGACATCACGTAGATACCAATTCGAGAGCTCTCGTGAATGCCATCTCGCTGCGCCAACATGCATGGCTTCATAATTGCAATTTCCCCAACAAGATGAAATGGAGGATCAAGGAAATGGCATTTGACGGTACCGGGTTATTCCATCAGAAAACCGACCGCAAGTTAAAAGCGATACACGAATCGCATATGACCGCGCGCTGCATGGAGCTTCTCAACAGAGGCGTAAGTGGCAAGGGCCTCGTTCTTCTTACCGTCCACAATTCCACCCGCAGCAACACTACCAACAAAGACAGCAACGGAGAAGACAACAGCTGCAGCAACGTTTCCCCCAGGGCCGGCGGCGCTTCGACGCTGACAAACGTCCGCGTTGACGGTCCAGGCGAACCATTCTCTCTCTCCCCACACCACCTTTCCCTCTCCCTTTTGGGGACCGGCTCCAGGGCCGACTCCCCATTTGGGAGTCCATTACATCTGATAGGTGGGTGTTGTCTATCATTCAGTTCAGATATAGGATAGAATTCGATGTCGTCCCTCCACCGTGTCCGATTCGATTTACATCTTCTTCATCGGTACTGTGCGAAGAAGTCTCTCAGTTGCTTTGCAAGGGCGCGCTTCGACAACTATCCCGCTCAGAGGGATTGCACGGATTCTACTCCAGATACTTCACGGTCCCGAAAAGAGATGGTGGTCTTTGTCCGATTTTGGACTTACGGAATCTTAACAAATACATCAAAACAAGTTTCGGATGACTACTTTACAGAGTATTTTTCCGTTACTGAAGAGAGAGGATTGGTTTGCCTCCTTAGATTTGAAGGATGCTTATTTTCATATTGCTATCCATTCTTCACATAGACGTTTCCTGCGTTTCACTGTTGGGCTCGACTTGTTCGAATATGCTGTGCTACCCTTTGGCCTGGCCACCGCACCTCGAGTTTTTACGAAGTGTATGGCACCAGTATGTGCGCACTTACGGACAAGAGGAGTGCAAATATACCCATATTTAGATGTCTGGCTAATTGTCTCCCAAACTAAACAAGGGCTTCTGTCTGCAATACACATGACCTGCGCCTTGCTCGATGATCTTGGACTATGTATTAACCACAAAAAATCGTCCCTTATTCCCACGCAGGTCATCGACTTTATCGGGGCACATCTCGACTCCACATGGGAAAGAGCTTTCCTCCCTCCGGACCGTCGCACTACCTTATGTGCCCACATCCATCGAATCCGAACGCTAGGAACGGTTCCAGCTATATCCATTCAGAGACTGTTGGGGCACATGGCTGCTACAGTTGCCATTGTCCCGTATGCCAGACTATGGATGCGGACCATGCAGCTGTTTTTCAACACGTCGTTTTGCCCACAGCGAGATTCTCCCAACAAACTGATCTGAATTCCGTCTGTGATACTCAACACTCTAATTTGGTGGACCATTCCGAGCAACCTGTCTGTCGGTGTCCCGTTCTGAACACCTCATCCAACGAAGACCCTGTATACAGACGCGTCGCTACTGGGATGGGGTGCAACATGTGCAGACCTTCGGGTTCAGGGAACTTGGAACCGACGGGAAGCAAGGAAGCACATCAACATCCTCGAACTACAGGCGATTTTCAATGCCCTAAGGGCTTTCGAGACTGTCCTATGCCAACAAGTTGTCCAGATTGCATCGGACGACATACCGGCTGTCTTCTACATCAACAAACAGGGTGGCACAAAATCGCCACCTTTAGCACGTCTCCCAATGGCCATTTGGGACTGGTGCATACCGAGGGACATTATGCTTCTAGCAGTCCACCTCGCAGGGACCGACAACACCGAAGCAGACATGTTGAGCAGACATATGTCAACAACACACGAATGGGAGATGGACAGACAAATATGCCACGACCTCTTCCATCTGTGGGGCTATCCGGACTTGGACTTGTTTGCCACTTGCGACAACAGAGTGTGTGCCCTATTCTGTTCCAGGGCAGGCATAGGATTGGGATCGATGGGAGATGCCCTTATGATCCCCTGGGACAACATAGCCTTTTATGTGTTTCCCCCAATTCCACTTCTAACGAAAGTGATAGCGAAGATATCTCAAGAGAATGACACAGGAATAATAATAACTCCATGGTGGCTGAGACAACCGTGGTTCGCCACCCTTCTTCGTCTATCCAAAGGGACGTTGCTTCACCTCCCATCTATTCCTCAGCTATTAACGCAGCAAAATGGAGCGATCCGACATCTGGATCTGACTGCCTTGAGGTTGACAGCATGGCGGATCACTTGAGTCATTCTGCTGCGTCAGTACCGACGACATCCGAACCTCTACCGGAATGTATTCACGGCCCCTAGGTCGGTTTCAATGACAACTGCTTTGCTACCGGTGACTGTTGACCAGGAAATTCAGGCGATTCTCACAGATTCTCACATCTGCTCTAAGACATCCACTCGTTGCTCTTATGCAGCTAAATGGAAGAGATTTTCCTCCTTTGCAGAACGCCATTCTTTTTCTCCTGGAATGGCCTCAATTGACAATATTTTACAATTTCTCTTGGAACTTTATCATTTGGGACGGAAACCGTCATCCATTAAAGTTTATGTAGCCGCTATTTCACACTATCATGGTGTGCTTCAAGGGATTTCAGTTTTCTCTCAGCCTCTACTTCGACATTTCCTTCGGGGGTTACAGAACCTACACCCTTCTATTCGCTCGCCTATGCCAACCTGGAGCCTTTCGGTCGTACTCCAAGCACTTACCAAATCTCCGTTCGAGCCACTGGCGACTGTCGACCTACGCCTGGTGTCCTGGAAAACAGCTTTCCTCATAGTGGTGACATCAGCTCGGAGAGCAAGCGAACTTTCTGCTCTCCGCATAGACCCTCCATATCTTAATTTCCATAAGGAAAAGGTCGTTCTTCGTATGGATTCTTCCTTTCTTCCTATAGTGGCTACACCATTCCACTTGAGTCAAGATATTGTTCTGCCAGCCTTCTTTCCAGCGCCGTCAAATCCAATAGAGTGGGCTCTACATACCCTTGATGTTCGCCGCTGCCTGGCTTTCTATCACTCCCGTACGGAATCCCTCCGTCGTACGAACAGACTCTTTGTTAAGTACTCCGAACATGACAAAGGACTTCCAGTCACACCTCAAAGGCTGTCGCACTGGATCACCCAGACTATTGTCCTGGCCTATCAACTATCAAAAATAGGCTTACCTGTTACCCCCAGGGGTCACTCCACACGAGCTGTTGCGACTTCGTCCGCCTTTGCCGCTGGGGTCCCACTCCAAGATTTCTGTAAAGCTGCAACATGGTCAGGGCCATGCACTTTCGCCAAGCACTATCGGCTTGATGTGCGCGCCAGGCAGGACTGCTCTTTCGGCAGAGCTGTTCTTTCATCCGTTCTTCGCTGACGACACCTCCCTCCTCCGAGTTGGGTAAGCTTGCTAATCACCCATATGTATGATGCACAGAGGCTACGACGAAGAAAGGCAGGTTGCTTACCTGTAACTGATGTTCTTCGAGTGGCCATCTGTGCAGTCACACAACCCACCCACCGGCCCCACTCGGTGTCCATCATTACATACTGCCTCGGTACCATGCTGTAATTTGCATCGGTACTGATGGTATATGCTGGTGAGTGGATATTGTTCTCAGTACCGTACTATACTTTGCATCGGTACCGTTGGGGCTCAGTGCCGTTTGCAACTAATTTTATTCTTAACCTGTAGAGGGCGAATGTTCGGTCTTCAAGACTGAACAAAATGGCAGACACTCCGCTCTGTTTATACCATGAAGAGGGAGGGGAGCGGAGTTTTCCCGCCAAAAACTGTTAGCTTTTCAATCTTCCGGCCTAGGCACTGCGCAGGCGCAGCACCCATATGTGTGACTGCACTGATGGCCACTCGAAGAACATCAGTTACAGGTAAGCACTTAATGCACATTGTAACTTGGCTCTCTTGTCCTGAGTGCCTAAGTGTGCCTTCCCTGGACAAAGGAAAATTCTGGAATGAAGGTACTAACTTGCAGCAAAGTTGAGCCTGCTGGTGAAACTGTTTTCTTTTGACACCTGCACCTCCAGGCAGTCATAGATGCCAACATTTTCCCAGTGCTGATTGAGATCTTGCAGAAGGCCGAGTTCCGTACAAGGAAAGAAGCTGCATGGGCAATCACGAACGCCACATCAGGGGGAACTCCAGAACAGATCAAGTAAGTCAACAGTATTAGCTTCTTGCAAGATCTTCTGAGCTAACTTTTCTTTTGCATGGTGGCGTTCTCATTCCATAACAATGAAAATTCTAAAGCAGGGGAGTCCGGCTCATGGGCTGCATGAGGCCCAGGACAGCTATAAATGCAGCCCAACACAAAATCATAAACTTACTTAAACCACCATGAGATTTTTTGCAATTTTTTAAAAACTGAATTGCACAGTTCACGAGCGTGAACTTTGTAGATGATGTCGTGTCACAATGTCACATAAAATAAATGTGTGTATGCTCTAGCTATTTGTACACATTCATGGCTTCAACTTTACGGTGGCGTGTGGCTTCTAGTGTGTTATCTTCCAAATGCAGACAATCGAATTGACACCATCAGGCATTACATGTGCTCATGGTGACTTTGCAAGTGAAATGCAGCTATTATCAATAATTTTTCAACCTACAGTTGCAAACAATTTTATACATTTTGACACTTTGGCTAAACATCGTCCTGTGAATAGCAAAAAATATACAGCCTTTTCAATTTGATACAAGAATTTGAAAACAGATTTCAAGATTTCTGGGAAAAGAAACTCTGTTTTGGTATATTTGTGACTCCATTTTCAGTCAATATAAATATGTTACCTGCCAGTTTTCAAATGGAATGCATAGAGCTGCAATCTGACATTCAACTTAAAGAAAAATTTGATCATGAACTTTTATAGGACTTCCCAGAGACAAATATCCCTCACTTCACAATCATACCTTATTCATGTCTTTGCTTTTTGGCAGCACCTACATTTGTGAGCAACTAAGAGTAAAATTAGAACCAAAATATCTGATGAGAACTCACTGAGAAGTTCAACTACTTCCATCGAACCAGATATTAATGCATTAGTTTCTCAAATGCAATTTCAAATATCCCACTAGTTTTATGTTGCCCTCTTTTCTGCTTGATGATTTTAAGAGACTCTCTGAATGGGGCACCACATAATTAGGATTATTATTTGAGGACTTTTTTGTTTATCTGTGGAGGCAGATATCATGAAAATTACGCACAGGCCTTAACAAATTTTTTTTTGCTCATCAGCTTTCGTTTGTGTTTGTGTATTTAATGTGTGGCCCAAGACAATTTTTCATCTTCCAATGAGAAGCCAAAAGCTTGGACACCCCAGTTTTAAAGGATCCAAAGTCTTTGAACACTGACTTTCCTAATTTGTTCAATAGAAAAGTCTTTTATGTTGTGCAAAAAGATATTTACTGCCTTTACTTTGTCTTCAGACAATACCAAGGTAGTGACAAAAGAGAGTGGAGTGAATCATTTGGGGAGGGTTTGAGTGTGCACGAAAGAGGCTCCTGAGAGGATACACAGAATGTGAAAAATGAGTGGTACGCTCCCTGCTGAAACGGAGAACAGCCATGTGCAGGCTGGATGCTAGATACAGATGCGGGAGCTGTTGTCCTCCTCCAGTTGACTTGTTTCATTATAGCTAATAAAAACTGATCTTCACGTGTTGGTGTGGGAAAGGGAGCCCCTTTGCACTGTTTTTGTGCCGTGTGGATTAGGATGTGCCTTGGATGAAACCAAAAGCCCAGCCAGAATGAGACCGCTTCAGTCTGGCTCCGTTGCAAAACAGGCATCCTTCCAGCAGCAGCTCCAAGACAGTGCTTCATCAGCAGCTCAGGCTTTGGATGTGCAGGCACTTTGTTTCCTGCAAATAGCTTTTCTCTAAGCCAGTGATGGGCAACTTTGGCAGGTACGAGGCCATATTCCACCCACTGACACCCCCATGCAGAATTCCTGCCACATTTTAGCAACAACAACATGTGTTCATTTTTGCTTAAAAAAGGCACATGTAGAGTGCTTGGTTTGCGTAATACAAAATCATGCTGCCAAAGCCTTGGGGAAAGCAGTTTTGCATTAATCCAAGGTGTGTTCTCCACATGCACCTTCTTTTTAAGGAAAAATTGACATCCTTTCTCAGCTCAGAAAAGGGCCAGTGGCTGCAAAAAAGGGCAAGCTGCATGTTGCCCACCTCTGCTCTGAATGATGATGGAAAGGTGGGGAGGGGGGGGTGCAGTGGAGTGGCAAGGCAGTCTCATCCTAGGGCAGGTTTTACCAAGGACTGCTGTCACTACTTTGGGGGAGGCAAGGATGGGCTACTCTTCCAGTGCCACCAGGCTTCACTGAAAAAAGCCTTAAACTGGTTTTCAGTAATCAGACCCTGTAACGTGTACACCTGTCCATCTGAAACTTGGCAGGTTTCTCTACTGGGGATACCTGCATGACAAGCACCATTTTCATACAACTTGTTCCACAAAAATTAAAATAAAGTCCCACAGGGAGGAAAGCAGTACAGATTTCTTCTGCCCACTCTGTCCAAATGTGAGAACTTCTCTTCCACATAAAGTGCTGCCCAGTTCTTCTGAAACTTTGCTGCTTTTTATTGGGGTACCTCTGAGTTGTCCCTTTCAGAATAATGATCCACAAGCAGTGTAGGGGGGGTACAGATCCTCTCCTGGAGATTGTCAAAATGTCAAGGCTGCTCTTGCAAGCATGCATGTGCACGCATATGTGTGTGGCCCGCTCCCTTCAAAACGGGGCACTGACCTCACAATGTTTATTAAGTTCTGTGACGGAGGAATTTTCATGTACCTTATTTTCACTTATTTGAGTCAGAGGTGCAGGCCTGGTTTTGGCACAGGAACAGCTTTGGCTGCCCTGTAGGCGACCTTCATCAGCACAGAGACGGGGAGCGTGACTCTGCTGGTTCTCTTGGACCACTCAGCAACTTTCAGTTCCGTTGACCACGGGGTCCTTCTGGGGCATCTGTCTGAGCTGGATGTGAGCAGCACCACCTTGCAGTGGTTCTGCTCCTGCTTGAATGACCATCTGCACAAGCTGGTGTCTGAAGAACATTGCTCTGCCCCTCAGATCCACCGGTATGGGGTTTCTCAGGGGGCAGTCTTGTCCCCAGTGTTATTTAGCATCCACATGCGATTAAATATGTGTATCTGTGAATAGATGTAGATACATGGCATGCAGCACAAAGGTCCCTACACTTGTTTTTCTGACCTTTGGTAGACCTAACCGCCTTCTAAAAGACTACTGTGTCTGCAGTCCATTTCTGAGAAAGATAGTTTTGCCATTTCCCATAATAGTTGTAAACATGAAATTTTCACACCATAGACTTTAGTTGCTATGAATTAAAAACTGATTACCCCCAAGGGGTCATTGAAAGCCTATTAGCCTGGAGTGATTAAATGCATTTTAAGGATTGTATTAATCTTGCTTGGTTTTGGAATGCCATTATGTAAATGTAATGGCTAAATTTAATGCATAATCCAATTCACTTGTGTCTCTCAGATAGTGCATAACTGAGGGAAGAGGACATGATTTCCAAGAAAGTTTGAGTCCTCCTTCAGGACTCGGAAACTTGAGCTTAACTTCAGCCTCTTAAGTGAATTCTGGTTGGTGTTCTGAGCGTGCATGTTTCCTTTCCCAGATATTTAGTAAACCTGGGCTGTATCAAGCCGCTGTGTGACCTCCTCACAGTCATGGACTCCAAGATTGTTCAAGTCGCCTTGAATGGCTTGGAAAATATATTACGGCTGGGTGAGCAAGAGGCAAAGCAGAGCGGCGCTGGCAATCCCTACTGCAGCCTCATTGAGGAAGCTTATGGTAAGTGGGGGAGTCGGCGGATAAGGAAGAGGCAATCATCTTGAAATGCTTCCAGAGCCAAGGTAACACTTGGTCCATCCTAGTTTGTGAAGGCTTTCAATTAAGCATTAGCTATTCTCCATTCATATTCTGTGACATCCCCGCTCTGGACTTTTGCTTCTCCCAGCACGCTCACCCATCTGCAGGTGGTTTCCTTCCTCTTCTCCCCTGCCCCAAGACTTGGAATTGCCTTTAAAACATTTGCATGTTGCCGCTGGTCACCTTCCTCTGAATCCTTCCTGAAAACCCACCAAGTTCACCATGTCTGTGAACACCCTAGCATGGGGTTAGTTTGTACTCTGAGAAGAGCCTTGTCTCTTTCCAGCCAGCCCCCTGGGTGAGAACAGACAAGTGGGTGGCAGAAAAGGGGCAGCCTGGGCACCCACGTTGAGCCCTTGTCCTGCCCGCCACAGACTTGCAGCTCCTGGGCAGCGTGGCCCTTGGCAGGTTGCCCAACCCTACCGTGCACTCTAGTAACTCAAGTATGTGCAAGTGAAATAGCTGCGCGGCCCCCCTTTGTTTGTTCCTGCCCCCACTTTTCTCTGTTTTCCCCCTGTTGAGTTTTGGATGGTAAGCCTGCTGTGCTTAACCTTGTCTTGAATTTGTGAAGCACTGGGCACATGGAAGTACGTAGACACATCATAATGTGCTTCTCCTCTAGGTTTGGATAAAATAGAATTTCTCCAGAGCCATGAAAACCAAGAGATCTACCAGAAGGCCTTTGATCTGATTGAGCATTATTTCGGCATTGAGGATGATGACTCCACTTTGGCTCCGCAAGTAGACGAGGCCCAGCAGCAGTTCATCTTCCAGCAACCAGAGGCCCCCATGGAAGGCTTCCAGCTATAACGTGTGCACTGAGATTGTGGGGGAAGAGTACCATAACTTTGCTGGGAAGCTAACTGCAGACAGCCTTCATAAACCCCAGCCCTGTTCTCTTCTCTGCCAAGCGGGAGGCGGCAGTGCCACTCCACCTGCTACCAAACAGCTTCCTCCTTCACTGACACGCGGCAGCAATGCTTGGCTCTCATGAAGAGGAGCTACTCCCACACACACCACATTTTTCTTTTGTTGCTGCACAGTTGTGTCAAAGCAGGTGCTGAAGTGGATGAAAGAGGAGGTGTGAATCAGTTACGCCTTCAAGTGTGTGGTTTTCCTCTTTTTCTTTTCCTTTTTTCGGTGGTGTTTTTTCCTCAGACAAGACTCTTCAAATGGGTACTTGAGAGATTACTTCTTTCCCTAACGGAAGAAGGCAAAGTAACAAACCATAACCTAGGAATCCAATATTGGATGCTTGGGTTCAACTATTTAAAAAAAACAGCAACAATCTTTTTGCACATCTTAATTTTTATTAAAGACTCTTCTTAATCTGCCAAAAGCACCACTTTGCCCCTCCCTTTTGTTTTGTTTTGTCTTTTTGGAACCCTCTTGCCAAACAGCACCTTTCAAGGGATTTGGGCCAAGTTGCTGCTGCTCTTGCCCTCCCCCACTTAAAAATGTTCCTGTACAGAGATGCAGGAAAAGGTGGACAACTCCCTTCCACCATGCATTGAAAAGACTCTGGCCTTCATGAGGGGATTCTCTTTGGAATGAAAGAGTTCAAGCAAGGCAGCAATCCCCACACCCTCCTGAAGATGCTCTTAAAGGAAAGGCACAAGATGACAGGACTTAAAGCACAGCTGCCACTTAAGGTGGGCTTCACTTACATTTGCTACTGACTGAAGTGTTGAACTGGTGGAAGAAACCCCATCTGGCATCTTTACTTGAAGAAAAATTGAAAAACTTACTGAAGCCTTTTGGTTAATGTCATTTATTTTTAATTTTTATGTTTCTTGGACAGCTTGGTTGGGGACAGATCTGACATGTTTCTTGGAGGAGATGATGTAACCACCCTCTGTGGAACATAATCTCCTCCAGGTTCAAAGTGGCCTGTGTTTCTCAAAATTACCTCCTGCTCACAACTGTATCGTGTACATTTTACTTCAAAATGAAGAAGTCAAAGCTCTGTATTTTTTATATATTATATATACAAGTAGATATTTGTCTAATTCGGTCTCCAAATGGAGGGGAAACTAATTCTTCTAAGAGATATAAATAGGATACTTTGTGGCAGGTTTGCCTAGGAACACGGCCATAAAAATGTTAGTTCTCTTGTGTTCCCCTCTTTGCCTACTGTATGAGCCACCAGACTAGATGAACTCCTTTACCAGGTAGAGGTTACTTGGCCAAGGCTGGATATCTACTATGGCAGAATATGAGAAACTATAAGCTTATTTCTGGGATGGGGAAGGCCCCTTCAGGTGTCTTAATAAAAGCTTACAGTCTGCACACATGATTCCCCCCTTCTCGCGCTCCCATGTTTGAATTCAGGGTTCCCAAAGCCTTCAAGAACAGATATTCAAGCAGGTGTGAAGTTGGATGTGAAGCCTTTGGCTGTATTTTGTAAAAGAGATTTGCTTTTCATTGTTTAAAAAAAAAATGCCAAGGACATTTAATAAACTACATCTCTGCATTCAATGACTGCAATCTAGATGTGACTGGAGCAAAGACATTTGCTAATTATCGTTAGCCATCTCACGCACATGCAAAAAAGCACATTCTTTTCTTTGCATCTTCCAATTACCCTGTGAGTATCATTCCTGTAGCAGTGGGAACAGGCCTAGCAGCCTGACCATGGCCACACTATTTCCTTGCCGCAGCTGGGATTCAGACACAAATAATGCACTTATACCTGGTTTGATTCTCTGGCCGCTGGACAGCACAGGCTTCCACAGTTGGCAGCACTGGGTTTTATTTGGGGGATGGGATGTGGTTGAAAAGAGAAACTGAACACCAGTATAACCTAGTCATTCATAGAATCATAGAATAGTAAAGTTGGAAGGGGCCATGAAGGCCACTGGGTCCAACCCCCAGCTGTTGCAGGACACCAAGTCACATCATCCCACTCAGATGACTGCCCAGTTTCTTTTTGAATGAATGTCTCTACTGTGGGAGAGCCCACCACCTCTTTGGGCAGCTGCAACAAACAGCCCCAGCCCATGATGTCATAAATACCATGTCTTTTTCCAAAGAAGCTTGACTAATGAAAAAACACACCTCTTATCCCACATAAAGAGCTCTTACAGTTCCTAGAAATGAAATGACTTTTCAGATGGAATTTAGAGATTAAGTGAAACAACACACTGGAATCCATCTGATATATTATGTGGGTAGGTGTATGGAAGGAGAGGGAAGGGGTGTGGGTTGACTATTCCTTCTGTCCTACATGAACTGTGAATCATATTGCAAGAACAGAGGCACAGAATATATAAGGCATTCTCACCATCAGCAAATAACTGTTGAAATAAAGTTGTTTGCAAAGTAGACAAAAGGAAATGCCTCTCTATGAACCTAATCTAAACCTATCTTCCTCAGACTGGTAAGGGATGATGGGAATTGTGATTCAATGATATTCAGAGGGCACCAGGTTCTTTGCTACAGGAGTTGCCCAGACTGAGATAGCAATCTAATCAATTGGGTGCAGTTTTGCCTCTTAAGGCAAAGGTCCACCCTCTTCTTCAAAACCACATGTGGTTTCCCAAGAAGGCTCAGTACACATTTAGGCTAATTGGGGGGAAATTCAGTACTCTTTCAGTCACCCTGCATCTATTTACTCAACTGTTCAATCAATTGACCAAAATAAGCTGGTAACCACTGGTGGTCTAATCCTCCATAAATCTGAGTAAACTTCCTTTTAATGCCATCCAAGTTGGTTCATATCACAAGAACATCAAATGGTACCCAGTCAATATTAATGTGCTTTGTGAGGAAGTACTTCCTTTGAGCAGTTCTGAATCCACCATTTTAGAGTCATTGAAAGACCCTGGAAGGAGACAAAACTTCTCTGTGTAGTTCCTTTAGTTTATATGCAAAGGAAGGGATAGACTTGGAAGTACAGCAATGATCTGAAAGCAGAGATTGTCAAGTCGGAGCAGGCAAACTTTTATATCATTTTTCCCAAACAATTGACTAACACCAAGTTAGGCTTATTAAAGGCAAAAGAAAATCTCCCTGTTGAAGATCATTCAAAAAGAAAAATATAAAACTCCAATATATATGCCATTCAATGGTGGAATTATACTTGGAATTCTCTTAATTTTTTAAAAATGTGTTTTTATGTCCCTATTCTCTAGTTTGTTTTGCACTGTTCACTGCCTTGATGGCACTTCAGTAAAGAAGGGAGTACATATTGATAAATGAAATTATTCTAGAGTCTTTTTGACGAAATAGGCCTTTGGAGTGATCCAACCAGGCTGCTCTTGTGTTAGGACTTTGCAGCTACAATGCCCCTCTGTCCAAACTACTGCAACCATTGCTACTAGGAATTCCCTCTCTTCAGTCTTATTGGTGAAATACAGCTCACATAATGAAGTAGGAGAATATACCTAATTCCTGAGGTAATTTGTGGTTTTGGGGGTTGAAAACTTGGCTTAAAACTTCTGGACAGGATATGAAAAAGAATGGGATTCTGCATGAAGTGCATGCTTTTCTACCTGTCACTGATACGTCCCGTCGCTGGGGGCTCCCTAACATCTATACATTCTATGGGACCTTATCCACCAATTTCATAGTTCTCATAATCTGTTTTTGATGCTTTCATCTTAATTCCAAGGATTTCCAATGGAATTCAAAGAAAAATCTTTCAGGAATTATAGGCTAGTAAATCTGAAGAAATCTCATCTTTGACCTAAAGCCGTTATAGCGTAATACATGTGTTGATTCTTTGTCGACTAGTGAATAAGCCCAGCTTTACACGAGTGGGAACAGCCCGTCAATTAACAGATCAAAAGCTGCAAGATGCATTGGGCGTTCTCTGAGCGAAGCCATACCCGCCAGCCACTGCAGGTGCACAACCTGCCAGGGGCAGGACTGGGTGGTTTCCTGGGACCCTTTCTAGCTCTCTCCGGCATTAGCCTCCACCCCATCTCGCTTACGGGGCGGTCATGATCCTGGCCCCTTTTACAGGGCATGCAAATAACGGAACGTCGTGCAAGGGCCTAACCGAGCAAATCTTTGACGGCTAAAAGAGGTCAGGCCCATCGAGTTGACCAGCACTTCCTCTCAAGGAACGGTTAGGGTTTAGGTATTTCAGGTAATGGCAAACTCAACGTTTATCACCCATATCCTTTTCTCAGAGGCGCTATCCGGAGCTCAGCCGCTGCTACCGCCCTTAACTCCCTGCGTTTGCTCCCCAGAAAGCTCGAAGGGACCCAGATCGCACCAAGAGAATGCTGGGAGTTGTAGTTTTGGTACGACCACCGAGCATCAGCCTCCGCCCCCCGGAGCGATGCACGGCGGGAGATGTAGTGCAGGCCAGACTCCCGCTTTGCGTCCCGCCTTTTTATCCGGCGCTTCCCAGCATGCTCTTCTCGGTCCCTCCGGCTCATTGGCTGGACCGGTTCTTGGCGCACGCGCAATCGTGAAACCCGGGCCAGAGTCGCTTCCTCGCAACGCCGCCGAGCCTGTGGGAGCTGCCGAAGCTCCGCGAGGAGGACGGCGGCGAGGGCAGGTTGCCGGCCGCTGCGGGAAGAGGGCAAGGTCAAGAGCTGGGGAAGAACGAAAGAGCTGTCTCACTGGGGCGGCGGTCCGGTAAGCAGGGCGCGTCGTACCGCCTGGCGTGACGTCAGAGCGGCGGAAAGGCGTGACGCCAGCTGTTCAGAAGTGACGTCTTTGTGTGGGCAGCAGAGGGAGGGCGGCGGCGGCGGGCCGCGAGGAGAGAGTATCCGCCTCTGGAGGGTGGGGTGTAGGAGTGGGGAGAGGGCGGCCGAGGCAGCGGAAAGGCAGGGCACTTGCACGGGGGGGGTGGGGGGATGCTCAGTGGAAGGAGAGGAAAGCCTGGGGCCGGTCGCTGCAGCACTGCCCCCCGACCCAGGGCCGTCTTAACGCATGGACCTGATGGGCACTTGCCCGTGGGCCTCATACTAATCTGTGTATGTTAACCTTTGGAAAATTGGAAAACTTCCAAAATTAACAGTCGTTGTAGTTGTCGTAGGGGCCCCAGTGCACTGCTTTGCCCGGGGCCCATCATGCTTTTAAGACGTTTATTGCTGTTGTTATCATCCTTACATTGCATTTGTATTCCCCCTTTTCCTCCTCTTGTGAGGCGGAAAGGCGGATTGCAATGCTCCATGGGCTCCTCAAAAAAACTTGCCAGTTGGGCTGAGGCCGTGACTGGCCCAAAGTTATCCAGTGAGCTTCATGGCACTAGAACTCTCAAAAAAGCTATTGAGAATGAAGGAGAAAGCCAGACAAGTGTCTGAGGCAACAGCAAACCCCTCAGATGGCAGCAACCCGCTCTGTTGACAGAGCAATGGAAGCACCCCTGTGCACTTGAGTGGAGAGGCCCAGAAAGGGGTGGGGGGGGGTTGCCAGGGAGCATCAGGGTCTGAGTTCCCCAGTTGCAGTATATACAAAGCAGAAGAAGGATGCCCTTTGGGCAGTCTTTGCTGGGACTTGGTGGGTGAAGTGAAAAGGCAAGGCCCAGAAGCAACACAAGGAGGGAGGCTGAGGGATGAGTTTGGTATAATGACTGGAGATAGGTGGCTGAGGGGGTGGAGAAAGAGGAATTCATAAGAGCTCAGAAAATTATATGCATCTGTTAATCTGACTGGTGGGGGGAGTTCCTCATGTACTGGCAAATTGCTAGAGGAGTGAGACTGTGGAGTGACTTGTGAGCTGCTGATGTGGTAACAGGATAGGAGTTGGTTTCTTACTGTTTATTTGAAGTATTTTATGCTTCTTGGCCAAAAGTACAACTTACATATAATCAGCCAAACAAATGTACTTGCCTGTAAGCTTACTATCCAAACAGATGTAGCATATGTGGAAAAAGAAATGCGGGAAAGAGAGGAAAAGGGGAAAATCAATTATTTCCGCAGGGCCAGTAGAACAGCCCTGTTTCCCTTCCTCATCTTGCTTAGCTCAGCTTGCTGGAATAGCGGCCAGTGCTGACACTGGAGGGAGGGAGGCACCTTCATGAGTAGCCTTGCACTCCCTTAGCTCAGAGAAGAGGCTTTACACGAAGGTAGACGACCTGGTGTGGAGCCTTGGCAGAGGCATGCCAGGGAGTGGCTTGGGCTGGAGTGGGATTGGTGCATGTGTGGGAATGGGGCCTGTTTCTGGCATGTGTGAGGGGGGAAAGGAAATGAGAGGGAGAACATGTGCTTTTCACAGAGAAGGTGCCAGGTTCACTTCCCAGGTTCTATAGGTTGGGCTAGGAAAGAATCCTGCCTGAAACTGTGGAGAGCTGCTGCCAGTCAGTGGAGGCACTGCTAGCTGAGTAGACCAAGAGTCTGGCTCGGTAGGTAGCAGCTTCCTCTGTGGACTAGTTCCCCTGAGTCGCCATGTGCACTCACAGCAGGGTTAGGTTCTTTCTTGGCTTGTGGAAACCAGGGATGTTCTGAAGCCTGTGACTAAGCAGAGGGAAAACAAAATTGCCCTGAGCTCGACTGTAAGGCTATCAGGTTTCCATGGCTGCACCAGCTCTTATCCTTCTCCCACTGAGTGTGCTGTTTCCTTCATCAGCAGGGAGTGATGGTTCCTGCCGAAGTGCCAGTCATTCTCCTTCCATAGAACAGAATAGTGACCCATGCCTATTTTTAATAGAATCTGTTGAAAGTGGCTGTGAGGGTAAAGCACAATGAAGAACCAAGATGGGGAAGGCAGCACTGCTCCCCTCCCTGCCAGCACTTCCAAAATGAGCAGCAGCCCAGGGCTGGAAGATAGTGAGCCTCCCACAGCAGCCCCCGGAAGCAGTGAATCTTCCCCCCAGCCCAGCATGTGCAACGTGAAGCCTTTGGTCGATGGGAGTGTTGAGATCCCAGTGAGCAAGGAACAGAGCAAGAAAGAAGAAGGTCAGTATTCCCATGGGTTCTCTTGCCCTGACGCTTGTTGATTGTATTTGTGTTTATACCTTGTCATCTGCATCAGCCTATGACTGGATTCTGAAGACTGCCTCCCCTTACGCCATCTGACAAACAGACTGTTTCCATATGCAACTCTTTCTTAACTCACCCTTTTCCTCCAGTGCCCATGTTCTGCAGTTCATGCATCCTCTGTGCTCTCTCTAGCGCATGACGTTTCCCATGTTAATCTTAAACAACACTTTTGCTCTACCTTCCACAGCACCTCAGGCTGAGGAGACTGCAGCTCAGCCTGTCGCCTGTGATGTCTCCGAAGAGCTGAGCAGACAGCTGGAGGACATTCTGAGCACGTATTGCGTGGACACGAATCAGGAGGGCCCTGGAGATGACAGTGGGCAGAGCGAGCCTGTTGAATTGGATGAAGCCGAGAAATGTCGGAATGAGTCCCTGAGGAACGGTGAACAGGAACCGAGTTGCCCTGAGATAAATGGAGAGAAAGAGGGTCCAAGGGGAGCTGGTGATGAGGGCAGTGAGCGTGATCAGAAGCGCACCCAGGAAAAAAAGAAGGCCAAAGGGCTTGGTGAGCAGTTCCTTCTTGACCTTCCTTCCTTTCTCCTTTCTGGATTTAGGTCAATTTATACCTAAGCCTAGATAAGCTTAAGGCACAAGTCTAAACATGCATAGCATCATACCCGTGCCGTCTCTAGTTGGTTGCCATTGTAGTGTCTTCCTGGCATAGTATTCTGACCCCAGATAGTCCTGCATTCACTCTTACATATTTTCTGGCTACTGTTGACTCAGCTGCTTCTTGCCTGCCTTATTGCAGAGTATAGAGTGCTTGAAGAAGTGTTACACTTGGAATGTAAGAAGCCATATACTTTGAACATACTTTGAGTATTAACCATTTTTCATACTTGTGAAGCCTTTGCAATAGCTTATTCCAAAATGGGACATGACAAAGAAGTAGAACTGCAGGGAAATCTTTCACTGAGCGCTGCCGTGTTTTTTCTCTTTCCTCTCTTGCTGCCATACCATATCTCTATGGCAGTGAACTTTTCCTGTAAAACATCCTGAAAACTGACCTTGCCCGGAAAGTGTCTCTTGTTGGAGGAGAATGTGGAGGCCAGGCAGGGCACCGCAATGCACTTTCCTCACTTCCCCAGCAGCCATGCAAAATGATGTCACTGACATCCTCTTCCTGATGAGGGGCAGATCACTCCCACAGTCTGTCACAGGGGCAGAGACCATCCTCCCTATGGACTGGAGCATCCCATGGGGGCCTCTTGATCCCATCCGTGGCCTCTCCTCTGCTCCCCAAATCACGGTTAGAATTTTAAAAGCTTTTATCGGCAGTGGAGGCTTTTCCAAAGCCTAATTACACGTTGCAGGGTGGCTGGATAGTGTATGTGAAAACAGCAGGCAGGGTGTACACAGAACAAGAATGGAACGGCCCTGTTGGCTATAACCTCTCCTCTGACATTCTGCCCCCACCCCGAAGGTTTCCTGAAAGTTTCCCATGCCAGAAATCCTTCCCCACACCAGTCCATGGGCTTTCTAGTTCTCTGGATCACTTGGTCTCCCCTGCCCCTTGCTTTTGCTTTTGGCTGCGCTCTGAAGGTGGTTCTCGTTTATCCTTTGCATTTCAGGGAAGGAAATCACACTGCTGATGCAGACCCTCAATACTTTGAGCACACCCGAGGAAAAACTGGCGGCCCTCTGCAAGAAGTATGCTGAGCTGGTCAGTTCCTGACTGGGCAAGAGGAAGGAGGGAATGGGGTGGGGGGCAGTCAAGAAGCAGCTGAGGCAGGGTTCTCCTGGAACTGAGGGCTCCTCGCTTTCTCAGCTGCTGGAAAAATTGGATAGCACAGGGGCAGGGAGGGCATCCAGATGCATGAGTGCATGCTTGCCCCAGGGCCACTCAAAGCAGTTTTAAGCAGAAAGATCAAAAGCCATGAGTGTTAAGTACTAGCTTGAACAGCAAAGCTTCAGACTGAAGCTCATTCAGCAGGACATAACTGGAAAGTATTTTTTTCAAGCATCCAACATGCTTTTTCAGGGCTTGCAGTCCTTATGACAGAAATAGGCAGAGCCTGGACAAGTTCAGCACCATCAAGACCTAAATCCCAGAATCCTCTCTGATGAGCTGCGGGATCCGGGGCCACAGCTTTCAGATTGCATGTTGCCACTTCATCAGCTGCTCCTAAAAGTTACTCTAAAATTCATAGTCGGGCAACCAAAGTCTCATTAGAGAGTTAGCCAATGTACAAGTCCATCAGAACTGTTGATCAGCTTAGATGGTAAGCAAAGCAGGGTGAGTGAGGAAGGAGGAAACCGACAAAATCTAAATCTGTATGGTCTCCATTTTGTCACAGTCTTAACGTGGAGTTTAAGAGCAGACAACAGGTTAGGGTGCATTGGGTACTGGACAAGTTTCAGATTGCCCCTAGAACCGGCAGATTAAAGGAGCATAAAGTGGTTGGTTCCCACATTTCTGAAAGGACGGGTGCCAGCTGTTATCCAAGTTTATCTCTCCCTCCTCCTTGTACTTGCATCCTTCTCATGCCTACATTTCCTTGTCTTTGCATCTCTTGTGCCTGCTAGCTGGAAGAGCACAGAAACTCTCAGAAACAAATGAAAATCCTCCAGAAGAAGCAGGCCCAGCTGGTGCAGGAGAAGGACCATCTACGGAGTGAGCATAGCAAGGCCATCTTGGCCCGCAGCAAGCTGGAGAGCCTGTGCCGGGAGCTGCAGAGGCACAACCGCACCCTCAAGGCAAGTGATGCCTGCCTGCAGCCATCTTGTCAGTTGCCAAGGCCTGCATCTCCCTGTCCCCCACAGCCCCCAGTCAGGGCCTAGAGTGTTCCAGCTAGAATGCCATGCAGCGGCTTGTCTGTGCCTGGGATGCTTGTTGGCTGTTTGGGACATGAGAAGCGAGTTCCAGCCTGCCGCTAGTGCAGTTCTGCTCCAGAAAGAGTCGCGCAAGAGTGACGGGGCAGCCCCCAGAAGCGCTTCAGGCGTGACGTGCTGAAGCATTCAGCAGAGCCCCCGCAGCTGATCTCCTGCCTCTCACGTGGGAATCAAGCCTGGTGCGGAGGAGAGCGGGATGGGAGGGACCAGGACAGTAAGCGCATCTAGCAGGATTCAGGTAGGAGCCACTCTTCCACGATGCTTCATTTCTGCACTGCATTATTGGTTATGAACCCATCGAGGGAGAGCACAGCAATTTAGGGTGCAGTGCTATGTAGGCTTAGACAGGAAAAGCCTACGGCCCCATAGGATTGCACCTTTAACGCAAGAAAGTAACATAAGAAAAAACAAGAACATTAAAAACAGCAGAGCATTACAACTACATGATTAAAAGGGCTAAATCAACAAGATGCTTCTTCGCACCCTTTCTAAAAAATCAAGGGGGATGTATTCCACGGTTTGAGAGTGAAACAGGCAAGCTGTTTGTGCGTGCCCAGCACACGAGCAGATGATGATTTGCTGAAGGTTTTAACACAAGCGGCATAGTTAAACTATGGAATTTGGTGCCCAGCGTGGCAACTGGCCACCCATCCAGATGGCCTCAGGAGGGACTGGCTATGGTGGAGAAGGCTGTTGACCGTGGCTCGCCCTGGTGGCTGTGAGCACCTTGCAGTCGCTGGGGAACTTGGGCAGAGGAGGCAGGTGTGCTCATGGCCTCCTTGCCGACAGAATGCTGGCGAGTTGGAGCTCAGGTCCGATCCAGCGGGGCTCTTGCAATGTCAGCTCAGTGTGGTGCTGTGGGGAGCCTGGCCTGTTGGTGCATCGCCAAGCACTGCTTACCCAGCCTGGCAGGGTTTTCCAGCCTTCCGGCAGGGTTCTCTCCTTGCCCTGTCACTTGAGACCTTTTTGACGGAAGCAGGTCTCCTCCTTATGTTCCTCTCCCCTCTTGTCTTTTAGGAAGAGGGTGTCCAGCGTGCCCGTGAGGAGGAGGAGAAGCGCAAAGAGGTGACATCCCATTTCCAGGTGACACTAAACGACATCCAGCTGCAGATGGAGCAGCACAACGAGCGCAACTCCAAGCTGCGCCAGGAGAACATGGAGCTGGCAGAAAGGTTGAAGAAGCTCATTGAGCAGTATGAACTGCGGGAGGAGGTGGGTAGCCTGCAGGGAGTGGGAAAGCCGCGGGGGGGGGGGGGGGGGGGGGGGGGCTGGCATTACCATCTCCACTGCAAGGCCAGTCTTCTGCCTGGGAGAAGCCGCAAAGCAGGCAGCACTGCAGCCGTGCCTCCAGTGTGTGTCCCAGCCACTGGTACCAAGAACCAGCTTGCCTGAATGTGACCTTGAGCCATCCCAACTAGCCACTTTATTGCTCAGTGCAAACTGGGTCACCTTTTGGGTCAAGTGATGCAATGCCATAGATGTGCATGTGCAGCCAGAGATCTGCCTTTTAAGGTTTCACTAGGCACTGCCTGCGTTCTGTAGAACAGGTGGAGCCAGATGCCTGGATTCTTTAAAAAGGGAACCAGAGGTTCTCAGCAAGGGATGGGCCATGTTGTCGCAGGATTTGATTTGAACAAGGCACGTGGTTCTAATGGTTACATCAAAAGAAAAGGGACTTGTGTTTGGAGAGAGAGCTGATTAAATGGATCCATTAAGGGTGCGATCCCATGCATGCTTACGCAGAAAAGGAGCCCTGCAGTTTCCATGTGTTTCAGCTGACTGTGAGGAGAAAATTTCTTTCCAAGACACAGTGGGGGTAATGAAAGAATCCTCCAGGCGCCTAAGAATTTCTTCTTCTTATTTTGTCCTTTGTGGCATACTAGTATCTTGCCATCTTGCTGTTTCCAAAGTGCCAGTAGCTGGTTGGCCTCATAAGAAACATCATTCTATATATCTTTCTTTGTGCCCTGGCATTATGCAAATTGATCTGTGCTGCATACTCAAATGTATTTATGCACTGTCTTTGTTAGATTTTTCAACCTGCCCCATTTGCCATATGGATAACACTTGACACTTTTCCATTCTGAAAAGTAGTGCAGCTTCTTTCTGGTGTGTCAGAGACACTCGTAAGCAGTGCTTTCCTGTGAAACATCAGCTGGTGAAAACAGTCTGCTCCTTGTGTTTTGGGTAGTGCTTCTAAGTTCAGGGTTGAGCAATGGCTGCTGTTAACTGAACGTGTGTTTTTGGCAGCACATCGACAAAGTCTTTAAACACAAGGACCTGCAGCAGCAACTGGTGGATGCCAAACTCCAGCAGGCCCAAGAGATGCTGAAGGAGGCTGAGGAGAGGCACCAGCGAGAGAAGGACTTCGTGAGTCTTGGTTCATGGAGCCCAGGATTAGCTGCTGTAGCTAAGACTGAAACAAGGGTGCCAGATTTGTAGAATTGCTGATTGCTTTCTGAAGACACTTAATATTTTCGAGGTCTATAAATGTGTGAGGGATGGTGGGGTGAGATTGTTATCCTTGTGATAATCCACAGGTGGAAAGTGACACAATAATACAACTCCCATCATTCCTGTCCATTGGCCATGTTGGCTGATGGGAGTTGGAGTTCAACAGTTGAGGGGCTATACATTTCCTCTACCTGTTCTAGAAACCACTGCTCTTTTCTTACCCAAAGCTGGATCGGACTTTGCTTGCTTCCTCTCTTAACCTCTGTGTATTATGTGCTGGAGGAAGATTCTGTTCAGCCAGCAGTCTTCTGTGTCCTGCCCCAGAACTTCCTGGGTGCATTGAACTAATTCCTCTTTCCTTCCCCCTCTTCCTCCTCATGTACAGCTGCTGAAAGAAGCTGTGGAGTCCCAGAGAATGTGTGAACTGATGAAGCAGCAGGAGGCACACCTCAAGCAGCAGGTGGGATGCAGTGCTGCGGACACTTTCCTAGCCAGGAGCATAAAACCTGCTTCCCTCAAAAGGGAGATAAAAGTTATTAAGGGGATTTGATGGTTTGGCATTAGGGCAGCCAACCCTTTTAAAACTTAATCTAGGGTTGTGGGTAAGCTCCCCTTTTGGATCAGGTTTTTTTTTTTTTTGGTCTATGCATTATATTTTTAATCTCCCACATAACTAATGTTCTCTGGGAAGATTATGAACAATCTCAAATATCGTTAAGGAAAAGCAATTAAAAATGGAGCACAAGTGGTGTCCTACTCCGGTTACTTCACAAGCACACCCCAAAAGTGCTGGAGGACATGTAGAAACACTGGTTTTAACTTTTATATGTGGTGGCCCAGCAGTTAAATCAGTTCTGGAAAGGATTGTTTAAAGAAGCAGAAGAAATCACCAACTGGAAAATGGAATTCTGTTGGATATATTACCTATATTTTAGAGCAAACAAAAATTAAGGCATAATGAGCTTTTTTACATTCATGTGGGTAGCAGCACAATTAACTTTCAGAAAAAGAGAAATAACAAGCTCACTTTGAATATGGACAGTTTAAAATTTGGTTTATTTTTTAATGCAGAAATGAACATACAGGCTTAGATAAGAAAGGCCTTGAAAATATACAGATCCTTTTAAAAAAAGGATAATAGGTAGGTTTGCCCATCCCCCTGAGTCACCCTGGCTGCTTATCCAGTGTGGGCTGATTGGTTGCAAGTTACTGCTGTCACGTATCCCGGACACTTTTACAGCAGCCGTCCTTGTTCCCAAGGACCACATGTTTTCTCTGGCTGGTCTGCTTGGGTTGCCAATTCATGAGGAAACGTCCCCCAGTCAGATTACCAAATGCATCTAATTTTCTGAGCTCTTAGGAATGCAGGAAGGCATTGGCAAGCTTACTTATGTAGACTTGGTTATTTAGTGCAATATACTGATATCCCCCCTTGGGTATGTTTTTGTGACTGCCATTCCCTTTTCATAGCAGTCGCCTTTCCAATGTGTGTTCAAGACTGGGGGAAAAATGTTGTGAAGACATTCAGGACAGTCTCTGGTGTCCTTTCTTCTCAATTTTTAGAAGGACGTGGTGGAGGGCACTGAAAGGGGGTGGGGGTGATGGCAGCAGCGCCAGTAAAATCACGAGGAGTGGCTGAGGGTCTTGCCGTTCTTGTGAGGCACCTCCTGCTGTGTCCAGTCATTATAACAAGCCACCTTGTTAACCTAACAGCAAGCCTTGGGTTCTCAAGGTGGCTCGTTCATAGAAAATGACCCACGATTTAAAAAATGCTCTGGGTTGAGACTGCAATAGGCTAAACTGGACCTGCTTGTGGTGACAGTCCATTGTCACCTACTGTGTCATGCACCCAGGTCACGACAGAACCGTTGTAGCTGCATGGGCCATGTGGAAAAATGTCTTTGGATAAACAGAAGAGCTTAATTTTTGTGGTTAACACATAAAGACAAAAGGATATCTCACCCTTGTACAAATATGGAAGCCCTTAATTAAATGTAAGATGGTATTGATTATATGAATGCAGTTTAGCCAGTAACTGTTCATTGCTACTGGATTATATGATTCTAACAAAATAAGACATATTGTAATAATTTTGTAAACAATCAGTTTAACAAATACTTAAACCCAAACCCTAAGTTTTGGGTGGATGACTGTTAGTTGCGTCTGATGATTCGTTTGACTCCCTATCTGGGTCCAGGGCAGCCCCCCAGAGGAGGGGTTAGCGTAAGAGTTCACAGCGCTTTCCACCAGCTTGGACAGGAAAAAAGTCTCCTCTTCCCTCCACCCAGCCTTGGCCAGTCAGGTGCTAAAGAGACTTGTCGGCATTGTTTTCCCACCCATCTCCTTTTTCCAGCTAGCCCTCTATACGGAGAAGTTTGAGGAGTTCCAGAACACGCTTTCCAAGAGCAGTGAGGTTTTCACCACTTTCAAGCAGGAAATGGAGAAGGTATGATGAGCTGCCAATTTCATGCTGAAGTCTGTGCTGGGAAGTCACCTTCTCTGTGGGAATGAGGAGCCTTTGGCTCGGGCAGCCCCTGGGAGCTCCCCTCAGGGCTGTGAGCATCTCACACAGGCCTAGGAGGATATTTAGAAGCATGCCAGCTATAAGTGCCCTGCTCTTGAAGTACTCCTTGCTTTGCAGTCATAAGAGTGGTTGTACTGGGGCTTGCTCCTAAGCAGGCATGCCCAGAACTGAGCCCCCTGTTTTGTAGGTTTGATGGGGAAATGGCCAGGGGGTTAACCATTCCATCTGGCCCCACACACTCTGCTGCACACCTCTTTTAATGGTTTTTAATGGTTGTTGGTGCAGATGTGTGAGCCTTCTTCATGGAAAAGCATTTCTTCCCACAAGCAAACCCAGATTTTGGGGGGAGGTATAATTCCAAGGACCTACCCCCTCCCCAGTGTGGCAGAACAGATGCCTTGAATCCACAACTGGCAGGAGCAACTCCAAGCACAAACTTGTGCTCAGATCCTGCTCAGCTGACTGACTTTCTGCCACTCTGGTCTTAATAAATATCTTGCTTCACTGGATCTTGCCTAGCAGTGTCTATGGAGCACAGAGCCACATGGCCTGAAAAGCATCTCACCACACAGATGGCTCACATCTTTTCCATGCTTCTGTTTGCAACTCTGTAGATGACCAAGAAGATCAAGAAGCTGGAGAAAGAAACCACAATGTACAGAAGCCGCTGGGAAAGCAGCAACAAAGCCCTTTTGGAAATGGCAGAAGAGGTAACAGGCCCCCCCGTGTGCTCAAGGAGTAAGGCCTCCAAGGAGGGGTACACAGCCAGACAGACAAGAAGTTCCACCATTGTACACCTTGGGCAGCTGCTATGTGTTTTCTGATGAGAGATTGAAACTTTTTTCCTTTTCTTAATTGAAACGTAGCATCGAGTTTCTAGCACACTGTGGAAGCCTGCACTGCAGTTCTGTTATTTCTGCATGTGCCATTTCCCCCTCAGCACTTGAGAAGGAACAGTCTCTAATAAATATTGAAAGGAAAGCTTAGAAATGCTGAAGAAGCTTCCGTTAAAGTCTCAGAGCTGAGCTCTGCATGTGCTTGAGTCCACGTGTTTTGCAGTGAGGTTGTTTTTAAGATTGGCAAGGGATTCCTCAGTCTTGAGAAGTCCCACTCCTCCTTCCCACCTGTCTCTTGACAAACTTTCTATTATTGCATTGCAGAAAACACTTCGGGACAAAGAATTAGAAGGGCTGCAAGTGAAAATCCAGCGCCTTGAGAAGCTCTGCCGGGCACTGCAGACGGAGCGCAATGATCTGAATAAGAAGGTGCAGGACCTGTGCTCTCTTGCCCCTCCAGCTGCCGGCACAGACACACAACAGTCTTCAAAGGACCAGTCCCAAGGTGGCTCAGAGGAGCCAGCACTGCAGGGCGCCGTGGTGGGAGCGTGTCTTACGCCAGCACAGGCTGTGTGCGTCACAAGATCTGAAGATCTTGGGGAAGCAAGCACAGGAGAACCACCTCGGGATGAGACTGAGGAAGCTGTTAACTCTGCTGAGTAAAGGTGGAAGAAGGGAGAGTAGCTAGCAAACCTCTCCAGAGACTGGTCGGTTCCTTGTTCCAGGCCCAGGCCCGGTCCTCCTGGGCATTAAGGTTTTCCATTTAAAGCTTTTGACAATACTGAAGGCTCCTTTCTCTTTCTTTCTTTCTTTCTTTCTTTCTTTCTTTCTTTCTTTCTTTCTTTCTTTCTTTCTTTCTTTC